GGGCCTGTGAGACCAATGGGGACCGTGGGGCCTGCGGGCCCTGAGGGACGTGTGGAACCTGAAGGGTCCCTGGAACCTGTGGGACCTGTGGGACCTGAAAGACCTGTGAGGCCCGTGGAACCTATGGGGACTGTGCAATCTGCGGGGCCTGTATGACCTTTGGGACCTGTAAGGCCTGTGGGACCTGTGAGACCAGTGCGACCTGTGAGACCTGTGAGATTTGTGGCACCTGTGGGACCTGTGCGACCCGTGAGGCCTTTGGGGCCAGAGGTGCCTGTGGGACTTGTTGGACTAGTTCGGCCTGTGGGACCTGCTGGATGCGTGTAGCCTGTTCGCCCGAATGCGCCCTATGGATACTGTGGGACTTGCGAGGCCCCCGCTCGATACATCCTCGCTGGCCAATCACAGGCGAGGCCCCCGCTCGACAAGGCCTCAAGATTTGCCCCCCTGCAGGTGCTTAGGCGGAATGCCTGCGACACCAGGGCGATGGCCTCTGGGGATTATACCAACATTCCCCGGGGGGGGCCACAGCGAGAGGACTCCCGCTCCAGACTTCCTCGCTGGTCATTCACAGACGAGGCCCCCGCGCCAGACATCCTCAAGATTGGCCCTTGGGATGCCACTGGGATTGAACGTATGAAGCGGGGGCTGCACAGGAAGAGGGCTCCCGCTCGAGACTTCCTCGCTATTCACTCGCAAACGAAGCTCCCGCTCGAGGTATCCTCACGATTTGCTCCCTGGGAGTGCTCAAGTGCTACTCCGGCTGCAGTTCCTCGGCGACCCGCTGTGTTTAAAGACAAACATGAGGCGGGGGCTACATAGCGAGAGGGCTCCCGCTCAATCCTCGCTGTCACTCACGGACGAAGCCGCTCGAGACATCCTGAAGATTAGCCCCCTCGGGGTGATCAAGTTATACGCTTGCTGCAGTAAGCCGATGGCCCGCCGGGATTGAACACATAAGGTGGGGGCCCTACAGTGAAAGGGCTCCCGCTCGAGACCTCCTCACGATTTGCCTCCTTGCAGTGCTGAAGTGCTGTGCATGCTACAATGGGCTAATTACACGCTCGTATTCAACACATGCAGCAGGGGCCTGCATGGGAATAGGGCTCTGGCTCGGGACTTCCTCGCTACTCACTCACAGACGAGGGCCTCCCGCTCGAGATCTCATCAAGATGAGTGTGTGCGTGAGAGTCAATGAATGAGTGTGTGAGTGCGGGCTGTGGGAGTGTGTTAAGTGCGTGTCTATGCGTGGACGTTGGGATGTGTGGGTGAGTGTGTGAGTGAACGGGTGCATGTGTGATGGTGATGATGCTGCTGGTGATGATGATGATGATGATGGTGGTGGTGGTGGTGGTAGTGGTGATGCTGATGCTGATGCTGATGCGGATGCTGATGATGGTGATGATGCTGATGTGCATGATGACGATGGTGATGATGAGGATGATAAGGATGCTGTTTGTAGCAGATGATGATGACGATGACGATGATGACGATGATGACGATGGTGATGATGATGATGATGCTGATGATGATGATGATGATGATGATGGCGACGAGGATGAGGATGAGGATGATGATGATGATGATCCTGCTGATGATGATGAAGCTGATAATGACGGTGACCGTCTGTGATTATGATGGGATGCTGACAGTGATGATGAGCGTGGTGTGCTGGTGATTGTGCGTGTGAGAAGAAATGGGGAGAAGAGGGGGGTGAGGTTATCTCTCCTGCGTGGGGTGTCCATAGAAAACACGAAAACACAAACCGATCTAGGACGCTGGGAACAGACGCACAAGCACATACACACACACACACGTCCTCCTCGTTCCCCTCTGCCCCTTCCCCCACGGGGTGGCCACCGAGGGTTTCGGGGTACACATCCTGAGCGGCAGGTGAGCAGGCCAGGGCGCCCATTCTCAAGCGACCAGGTGTTTTCGGGGGGAGCAGGGCTGGAGCAGCAAGCAACCACACACACACACGACCTTTCGGAGGTTCACGCTGACTTCTTGGACAGGTACAGTCGGGGCGTTGACCTAAGGAACCCTAAATAAGGAACGAAGCCCCTTTTTTTCATAAGTTAACCTTCGACTTGCAACCAAACACTTCAGGAAGACATTGGGCAAGGTGTGGAACACTTAAGAAACACCGAGCCCCTCCCCAACGAAAAGGGTTCCATCTTCAGCGCCCCGACTGTACTGGATCCCTCCGGGGGCGCACCCGGCGCCCTTCGCGCGCCAGGGAGGGGGGCCCAGCGCCGATCCAGGAGGCCCGCGCGGACCCCTCCGAAGTCTTCTTGCTCCTGCCGCTCTGCCTTCTTCCCGGCGAGGGCGTGGAGGACGGGCACCACACAGCGAATCACTGGGACGTTCAAGGGGAAGGAGGGGGAGGGGGAGGGGGAGGAGGAGGGGGAGGGATGAGGAGGAGGAGGAGGAGGAGGAGGAGGAGGAGGAGGAGGAGGAGGAGGAGGAAGTGGAGGAGGAGGAGGAGGGGAGGAGGAGGAGGGGGAAGGGAGGAGGAGGAGGAGGAGGAGGAGGAGGAGGAGGAGGAGGAGGAGGAGGAGGAGGAATACAGTCCCGTCCCCGTATGGAGTACAGTCAGCCCATCTGCTTCCACACGGGACGCTCCACGGGGAGCGAAGGCCCTTCGTGGCCCTAGCAGCGCTCGGGCGCTCTAGGGGAGCGGTGGAGCGACAACCGTGGCCTGGCTTAAAAGGAACGGCGAGCCGCTTCGGAGCCCAGCAGTCCCTTAGTTCAGCGTTTTGTGGCTGCATGCGGGTGGGCTCAGGATGAGGTGGGTGACAGCGGGGAGGAAGAAATATTGTGAGTAGGAGGATGAGGATCAGCACAAGAAAGATGAGGAGGAAGAGGCGGAGGCGGAGGGCGGCTACACGCCAGAAACATGGAGAAGCATGCGGAGGTGGCTGGGGGAAGCGAAGAGGGAGAAAGGAGCACAGTGAAGACGTGGAAGAGAGGGCGAGGACGAGGAGTCGAAGGGGGGAGGCATATGATGACGCTAAACGCGGGGATCAGACGCGGATTAACATCAGGAGGGCGACGAGGAGAAGGGTACATGAAGAGGACGATGAGGACGATGATGCGGAGGAGGGAGACGGGGAATGCTACGAATAGAATGAGGAGGACGACGAGCATGATGAGGATGACGAGGGTGGGGGTGGTGGTGATGACGATGATCGCGTCGCTTCGACAGGAGCCGCTGACCAGAGCGAGCTGGATCCCCAGCCCGTGGACGCAGTGTGGACGCCTGCAGCACAGATGTCCGCAGGGGCCCAGCCCAGCAGGGAAACCCTGACACCACTCGCGCGGCGGAGTCGCCGACGGACTCGAACACCCCGGTCACGCACTCACCCCGCGGGGAGCCCAGTTTGACCGACCACCGCCCCCTGCGGTGACCAGGCCAGATGGAGATGGCAGCGACAGATCTCGGGACGCCGTCGCCAGGCCAGAGTGGCACGGCGAATGCTACATTGACCAGACATGACCAGACGGACATCGAGACGAATGCATCGAGCATTGTCACCTCGGAGGGCGGTGCGATCGATGCCGAGAGTGACAATGCCGCTCATCCTGTCCTTCCCGCAGCCGCAGGAGAGCCCATAATTGAATCGATAAGTCGGATCGGCGATCGAAAAGACTCGGATCGGCGGAAATCGGCAACAACGTCGGGGGGGCTCGAATCGGCGGAAACCGGCAGGCTAGTAAGACCTCCGTTGAGAAACCGAAGCCCACATCGGAATCCGAAATCGCATCGAATCGGAATCGGAATCGGAATCGATCGAAACATAATCGAATCGAGTCGGAGGAATCGAGATGAGCCCTGCGGCCGACGAGCGCAGAGGAACCACCGTGGAAGGGACGGCGCGGAGGCTTCGCCCGTGCACGAGCATCGCCACCGCAGCACCGCAAGGCCACCCCACCGCGCAGCCGACCTGCGCCGTGAGCCGCGTTGCGGTGAGCTGATCTGGCTCAAGCCCGGGGCGCCGCCCGGTGCGCGAAGCTCGGCGGGCGGTGCTCGAGGCTCCCTGCTCTCGGGCGTCGGCAGAACTGGGTTTAGTGGGACCTGGTTTCGTGATGTGCACTGGGGGACGCCCACCCCCCGCCCCGTTCCACTAAGCGGACCTGCCGTCACCCGGAAAAACACCAGCTACGGCAGACCTGGTTTAGTGATTCTGGCCAAGTTAGGGGCTCCGGGGCCCTACCACTAACCAGGCCCCCTTACCTGGGGTCCTGGCTATACCCGATACTCGTGCCCCCCTCGTGCGTCGAAGTGAATCGGGGATCTACTGACCTGGGTCGATCCAGACCCAGGTCACTCAGGCGTTGCAGGATCCTGCAAGGCACTGCGGGATTCTGGAGGATCCTGCACCCAGGCCTGGGCCAATGCGGCCCCAGCGCCGCCGGACCCTGCAAGGTCTGGGGCTCGGAGTGGCCCCCGTTTGCACTGCCCCCCGTCTCTCGAGTCTCGAAAAGAACGAGTGCAAGCACAACGGGGCTGGCGTCCGCGAGCGTGCGGCGCTCTGCGCTCGCATCGACCTCTCAGGGGCGATGGGGGGCGGCGGAGCCCCTGCTCGGCACGGCCCGGGCAAACATCCGCACAGGGCAGCCGCGCCTCACGAGAGTTGTTCTCGGCCACCTCGCCACGTGAGCATCGGCTGGCTTGCCAGGCTGCCCAGGTCGCCCAACATCACGCATCGCACCCCGCGACGCGCGACGAGCGGCTACCTTCGCGCCCTCGCTTGGCCACCTTGGACAAGGGCGCCTCTGCAGGCCAAGAAGCACTGCACAGAGCGCCATTGCCTTCGCACCCCTTGTGCCCGGCCCCAGGCTTCTTCTTCGTTCGATGCCGCGGCCAGGCGACCACGGGCACTGGCCAGCAAATTGGCCAACGAGGAATGGCATATTTTAATAGCCGCTCTCGTGACTCTGCCGGCTGACCCAACGGGGCCCATCAGTCTGCACCTTGGCGGGGTCAGTGGGGACACTCACTGGCCGCCCACGAGCATTATTTCCCACCCAGGCTGCTCTGTGGGCTCGGGGAGCTCAGGCGGCACCGCCTGCAACCAATTCAGGAGGACAACCACTCTGGCAACCTCTCGCTTGCCACTTTCTGCCTCCGCGGCCTCGAACTCGCCGGGCACCCGCCACGCGTCCGTCTGTTGACAGGTATACTTCTGGCCCTGTCTCTGGCTCCTGTGGGGGCCCAAAGAATATACACCACCACCGCGTCGATTCCTCCTCTCTCCTCTTTCCAGCGAGAGGGAGGGGGGGAGGAAGGTGGTGGTCGTGGTGTATATTGTTGGGCCCCCTATCCTGGGAGTCAAAGTTTGCCAACGGATGCCGAAGCTGATTCGGTAGGCGTCGGGGCCATGCGTCGGCCGACCCTGATAATATCAGATCCATGCAGCGGCCGTGGCCGCCTCGACTATACAGACCGTCAGCGTAAGGACGCTGGGAACGTGACAACCCCAGGAATGAGGAGGTGGAGGAGAAGGAAGAGGATGAGGAGGAGGAGGAGGAGGAGAAGGGGGAGGAGGAGGAGAAGGACGTTGATGATGATGATGATGATGATGATGATGATGATGATGATGATGATGATGATGATGCTGCTGATGCTGATGATGATGCTGATGCTGATGCTGATGATGATGATGATGATGATGATGATGATGAGAGGAGGAGGAGGGGGAGGAGGAGGAGAAGGATGTTGATGATGATGATGCTGATGCTGCTGATGATGCTGCTGATGCTGATGATGAGAGGAGGTGGAGGAGGAGGAGGACGAGGAGGAGGAGGATGCCACAATAATCCTTTCCACCTCCTCTGACTACACCGCTTCCCCCTCCGCCGCCACGCCACCAGCCACCTCCAACCCCCTCGCCTCCCGCCCAGCGCAAGCCGAATGCAGGAGAAAGACATGCTCGGACGAGGAGGAATCCTCTTCCTCGCCTCTCTCCCTTTCCTCCTGCTCTCTTCGGTGGTTCAAAGACGGGGTCCTGAGGGAGGGGTTCCTGAGGATAGGAAAGGATCCAAGAGTTCATATACATTGTTTGAAGCATTCCGTCCTTGGGACCCCATCCCTCAAGACCCCATCTTGGAACCACCGATCCAATCCCTGCCCGCTGCCTCCGCCTGGCCCCCCTTCCGCCTGCCCGCCCGCCACGCCGGCCCCGGCCTCCCGCCTGCGCGCTCGTCGCCGTCTGCCTGCTTCTTCCCTCCTCTTCCCCCTGCGCTTGGCGGCACAGCCTGCCCAAGACCAGCGCGGCGGGGTGTAGGGTTTCGCCAGAAGGCCAGGCTACACAGGTGAGGAGGAGGGGGAAGAAGAGGAGAAGGAGGAGGAGGGGGGGCAGAGGAGGAGGAGGCGGACCAGGAGGAGGAGGAGGAGGAGGAGGAGGAGGAGGAGGAGGAAGATATGAGGAGGAGGTGGAGGAGGAGGAGGGATAAGGAAGAGGAGAGAGGGAAGAGGAGGAGGAGGAGGAGGAGGAGGAGGAGGAGGAGGAGGAGGAGGAGGAGGAGGAATGGGAGGAGGAGCGCACGTCTCGTGGCGGACCCTGGATTAGTGCCTCGTGCGAACTGCATGCCTGGTTGACAAATGATGTGAGTAGCGACCGAACTGCTGAGGGGTAGTCGCTAGCTCGGCGCGAACATCATGACAGATAAAGTTCGCTAAGCTGACAAGATCATGGGCAGTCTCATGATTGAGATCGGTGCCCTCATATTCCTCCTCAGTCCCGAGGCCGAGCCACAGGAAGAGGAGGACGGTGGGGATGTGCAAGCGAGGGAAAGCGACGAGGTGAAGCAGGCGATGACAAGAGAGTTGGTGGCAAAAGAGTCAGGGCAGTTAAGGCAGCCGAAGACGGCAGGGGAGGGGGGTCAGGATCTTAATCCTGCGGCTGGTGATCCATCCCCCTGCTAGGCGTTTTTCTTCACATGAGCCAATGTCTCCGCGGGATACGATCGAGCAAGAACACTTCCGAGCCGCATCCAGCGAGCCTGTGTGGATGCTAAAGATGGGGCCTGCTCTGGTGGGAACCACGCCAGCCTCATTCTCCGCAGGAGCTCATGGAACTTGTTTGGAGAGAGGAGGGGTGGGGGAAGAGGAGGAGGAGGAGGAGGAGGAGGAGGAGGAGGAGGTGGAGGAGGAGGTGGAGGAGGAGGAGGAGGAGGAGGAGGAGGAGGAGGAGGAGGAGGAGGAGGAGGAGGAGGATGAGGGAGGAGGATGCGAGGGAGGAGGACGAGGAGGATCAGGAGGAGGAGAAGGAGGAGGGGGGGGGAGGAAGAGGAGGAGGAGGAGAAGGACATGAGGAGGCCGAGGGGGAGAAGGAGGAGGAGGAGGAGGAGAAGGAGGAGGAAGAGGACGACGACGAGGAGGCGGAGGGGGAGGAGCGAACGTCCACTTGCGGACGAGGTGCTTCATGCGCGGCCGCGCACGGGTGCGCCGCCGAACGGGCTCGGGCCGAGCCTCAGAGCGATGCGCGGGGCCTTCACCACGTTGGTGTGGGTGTGGTAGTTGATGGAGTCCACGGCGGTGCCGAGGGAGATCATGTCCTGGATGTTGTGATAGGGATAAATGATGCCACATGCGCTTGCAAATCAGGTAGTGGGTGCACGCGTCTGGGTTGTGCGCGGGGTCACAGCCGAAGATGCTGCTGCGGCGAACTGGTTGTGCATGGAGACGATGTGATGTGGCCCACCCGCCCGCCAGGGTTTTCATGACTGGCCAAAATCGAGAAGGCGGTAGTTGTGCAACATGAGGTCGTAGCCGACACCATGGGCTGCGCATGGAAGACGGGATCTGGAAGAGCATGGTCATGTCGTTGCTGTCCGCGTATCGGGTGGTGACGTCCTCGTTGAAGTCTGGGATGTAGTCGGAGTTGTCGTTCTGGAAGCCGGCGTCCAAAATCAGGCTGCGCCGAGCGCGATGTTCGGCAGCGGCAGCAGAGAAACGTTGTTGAATTTCAGCTGCGCGCGTGCCGCGGAATACGTTACTCGTTTGGCGGCGATTTGACCCTGAGAGGGCCCATGCGTCTGAACAACTACGACCGGCACGATTGCGAAGCTGCAAGTCAGAAATACCTCGGAACAGGACCTGGCAGTTGTCTCGTCGGAGCACACGAAGAACATGCTCCTCGCACCGTGCGCGCCAGTCCGCCCCGTCATCAAGCTGTGGGTCGACGTAAAGCGATGGAATCCAGTCGGGCGCCCAGTGGTGCGCGGACTCGATGATCGTCTCGAGTTCGTCGAAGGCGCCGCGCCTGTCTCTGTCCGTATCATCGGGAGTAACAGGAAGATGAAGAGGTATCGGCGGAGGGCGATGGTGACTTGCTGAATCTTGCGGAGCAGACTGCGGGGCAGTAGGTATCGTCGGGGACCAGGCCTTGATCCTCTTGGCGAGCGTCAGATCGAAGTTGTCGTCATAGAGATGGCGCTGGAGCGTGAGCGAGTAGATGGACTGCGGTGACTTGCGCTTGCGAACGGGATCCGCACCCCCGCGAGGTTTGCGCGCAGCAGCGCGGGCGAGGTCATGAGCACGGCGCAGATCATGATGAGCGTGTTGTTCGTTCTGCAGTTTGCGGAGCATGACCTTGAAGATGGAGCCCATTGAGCATTGGGTAGTTGGCTCCGTTCTCTGCGACGGCCAGGTTCTGAGCGATCGAGGTGGGGGCGGCCCAGCATTTGGCGCTCCACTTCCCATGGGCGATGTCCACCACGAGGAGATTGTCTTCGGCAGCGCGTCGATGAAGTTCATGAAGTTGGGGCCAGGCGTATATCGTTGACGCCGCCGATCTCCAGAGCGCTGCCCCGAGGAGCACCTCAATTCCAGTGGGTATTGCACGCCCAGCCCAGTTCTTCATCCCGGGGATGTCGAGCTTGGTGAAGGCCGATGGGGCGGCGCGGGCGATTTTGCGCAGCACGTGCATTTCCTCTGTGAGCACTAGTTCGGGGGCAGGAAAAAGCAGTCCCACATATGTGAGACACGAAATGGCGGAAGAGTTGTATATCGCGATGTTCTGCTGGATGGAAGAGGTGGCGTCGCTGGGGATCTGCGAGCGGTGACACCATTTGGCTGCGGGGGCAGACCATTGGGCGCGTTCATCAGCACATGGTTCGATGTAGACGCCGAGGTACTTGGCCTTGCCGTCAATCTTGAAGAGAGCCCAGTCGTCGTTGATCCCCATGAGGATGTTGCGGATGTTGTCGTCGTGGTCGGAGTAGCGGTCAGTCCATGCAGGGGCCAGCACGCACTTGTGAGGTTGTAGATGAAGTCCTCCGTATGCAGCGGCAGCGTGAGTGTGCTTGAGGAGTCTGCCATGTCTTCCAAGCGTCCCAGAACGCAGCCGATGCCATCGGCGCAAGCACTGGCCATGCCACGGCCTATCTCTGAGAAGTGGGACTGGATGCCGCGTCTTGAGGAGTCTGCCATGTCTTCCAAGCGTCCCAGAACGCAGCCGATGTCATCGGCGCAAGCACTGGCCATGCCACGGCCTATCTCTGAGAAGTGGGACTGGATGCCGTGTAAGATGGGGTCGAAAACGAAGGCCCGGATCGAACCGCTGAGCGGGCATCCTTGTGCAACTCCGCTCTCAGCAACGAGAAGCGGTCGACGCTCGCCACCCATCTCCAGGAAGGCGACGGGGAGAGCGTAGAAAGCCTGTAAGAGCGTGAGGAACTTGCCTGTGCTCCCCACCGTCGAATAACTTCTCATTGCCAGCAATGAAGCAAGCTTGGAAAAGCTGCGGTAATGTCCATGCTGAGGAAGCAGGGCACGTCGATGGCGGCCTGGTCATGGATGCTGTAGATGTGGCTGTAAGTGTCGACTTCAACAATGTTGTTGAAGAGTTGGCGACCAGGAGCGAAGCCGTGCTGGATGCTGGAGACCTGTTTTACGATCGGGTGGAGCTTGCGGTTGGCGGCATATGCAACTATCTTCACGCCGGAGTTCTTCATGGCGAGCGGGCGAAGTTGGTCAGGCGCACGAAAGCATGCTGCACTCCCAGCAGGTTCGTCACCTTTGGGAAGCATCGCCAGCAGAGCGTGATTCCAGTCATGGGAGACGGAGTTGCCCCCCTGATGTGCTGGGTGAGTTCTGCAAGTACCTCAAAACTGCCAGGGGTGGCAGTCAATGCCGCGTATGGAAGTCCGTCACGGCCAGGAGCAGAGTCGCGCGCAAGTTTGGCAGCAGCTTGTAGCTCGTCAGCATCTGGAGCAGGGAGCACGAACTGTTCGCGCTGGGGAAAGACAACGTCAAGGTACTCGATCATGTTGGGAATGTTGACGGGCTTGTTGGCAAATATCGGGGCCCAGTGCTTCATAATCGCGGAGTGTATGTCGGTCGGCGACTTGGTGACGCTGCCAGGGTCTTCTTTTGAGATGCGGATGCCAGCAAGAACCAGGCGCTTGGCGAAGGGTTTCCAGAGCTCCCCTCGCCGACGCGTGATGCTCGCTCGCGTCCGCCACCTGTCGCCTTGCCGTCGCTGATGACGAAGATGTGCTTCGCGAGCGCGGGCAGCAGCATGAGCACGACGTTCTTCAGCGACAGCAGCGTGCGCTTGAGCGGCGGCAGTGGCGAAGGCACTGTCATTGATGAGGGATATCTTGACGGCGTGAAAGGCTGCGTCCATGTTATACTGCATCTGCAGGTGCTTGGCGCCGAGGTGGGTGTTGGAAATCAGGAGTTGAACCAGTTGTTCGTCTTGATACCAAACTGCGCGAGCAATGCTGCGCATAGTCATCGAGTTCACTTCCTTGGAGATCTCGGAGTGTTCAGCGGCGAGAACTTCAGGAGATAGATGCGCCAGCGCGTCAGGAGGAGGGGGAGGAGAAGGAGGGGGAGAAGGTGATACCGAGCAGCGACGGCCTTACTCAAGCCCGCGGGCCTCGTGGCTGCATCTGCGCGCTGGCCCGGACTCTCGACGCCCACGCGCTGCTCGCAAGGGCGCGAGGGCGAGGGCGCGGCAGGCGCAAGGGCTTGGGGCCCCTCGGGGGCCCTGGGCCTGGCCGGACTCGGCGCGTTCCCGTGACACTGAAGGGGCCCTGAGACACACAAATAAACACGCACAAATAAAAGGATCCCCTATATTTTCCCATATTTTCTGGGTTTCTGTCTTCCCCCCCACTTCCCATACTTTCCTATATTTTCTGGGAGTCGACGATTAATTGTGTCTGTGTGTTTTTTCCCCTCCTGAGAGACGCCGACCGGCGTCGACGTTTCGGCCGGCGTCCATTTGCTGCGTGGGGCGCCTCGGCCGAGTGCGCCTTTTGGAGGAGTTCCGAGGGCGCTCCAGGGCGCTTTCAAAGCGCTTCCTCCCCATCCCTGGCCTGCTCGACTCCCCACTGATGGGCCACGTCAGAGGGAGGAATCTCGATCCCGAATCGGCGATGCATCGCCGCTGGATCGGCGATAGGCCCCCGATGGCGAATCCGCACGCTCCTGGGCGGAGTTGGGCTATCGGACCCTCATCGGCAAAATCAATGGGCGATTTGGGGTTGATGTTGCCCCCCTCTGATGAAGGGGCCCTGGCACACACAAATAAATACACACAAATCAAAAGAATTCCCCAGATGTTCTGGGTTTCTGTCTCCCCCCCCACTGCCCATATTTTCCTATATTTTCTCGGGAATCGACGATCGATTGTGCCTGTGTGCTTTTTCTCCTCCTGATCTGAGCTTGCCCCCCCGCTGGCACGGCCCCCGGCCTGCGCTCCCAGAGGGGGGGGGGAGGTGGCGTCGTCCTGCCAGCAGAAGAGGCACCCGATGGACGTCGAGACCAGGCAGTTGGAGCCCATGGCGGCCGGGCCCCGGCCGCCCCGGGGCCCCGCGCCCGCGAGGGGTGCGCCTGGCGGGCCAGGGCGGGTCCTTCTAGGCGGCGCGGGCGGAAGAGCAGGGGGGTGGCCGTCGCCGCGCCGCGGAGGGGAGAGGAGCAGGGAGGAGGGAGGGAGGAGGGAGGGAGGAGGGAGGAGGAGGAGGAGGAGGAGGAGGAGGAGAAATGAGGAGGAGGAGGAGGAGGAGGAGGAGGAGGAGGAGGAGGAAGAGGAGGAGGAGGAGGAGGGGATGGATGGGGAAGCGGATGGGCATGGATGCGGAGGAGAGTCGACGATGGAGGAGGATGCAGGATGGCGGGGAGGGAGGGGGGCTAGGACTAGGACTAGGACGGTGGACTGGCTCCGAAGAGGCCAGTCCAAGAAAGCAACAAAAAGGGGGCGACCGCGCTTTGCGCGAGTCGCTCACCACAGAAAGCACAACACCACCAGCGCGCAAGAAATGGCCCGACAAAATAACAAGATAGGGCTGCAGACCAATCCTGCTAATAGAAGTTGCTGTCCCACGCAATGGGATAGATGATTTGGTCGAGCCACCCGCCGAATTGCAGCGATTAGGGGACAAGGTGGGGGACTCAAGTATTCCTGGGAGACATAACAATGGGGCCCCCCGGCTCGTCATATAGCCGCGTGAGCGCTGGCAACACAGGACCTGTGGACAATTTAGTGTTCTTGGGGTCCAGTCTCGGCATCAAATTACCAAGCTTGTACTTGGCGGTGGTGGATTCAGGGCGCCTGTCACAGAGTTGAGGGAAGGAAGAAGGAATGGAAGGGAGGGGGGAAGAGGGCAGGGGATCTGGATGGGGCTTGTGTGTGTGTGTATGTGTGTGTGTGCAACTCTGCGCTAGCCAGTCCTACTGCCGGCGAGACATATGAGCTTCAGCAGGAGTTTATGTTCAAACCTGGGCTTCTATCGCCTCGTACAGTGCTTGACGATGCTCACAGGTGCAACTTCTTTCTGCAAACTGGCCTGCCCAGCATGCACAACTGGCAGCGGGTAGCACAATTCGTTCATTTGAAACAATCTAGGCAGCTACGAGTAACCACCAGAACAGCCACGGATCGCCTCTCCTCAGGAATCGATGCGACGCGTGGGATAGCCAGGCCAGCCACGAATAGGCACCCCTCAGAGCAGCCGCGCACAACTACCACTCGAAGAGATGTGTGCAGCTGCACTTCACCGTCGCACGAACTCTGTTCACGAACGAAACTCTGGAGGACTCTTGCACCCGACAATCAGCTGCTGGACTAGAATATTCCTGGCCCTTCCTGCTGACCAGGGTGAGCCTGCACTTCCCCGAACGTTCTGGCGAGTGGCAATAGCTCCTCTAGCACACTGGCCTCCTCTTGAGAGGGGTTGTCAGGCTTTCTCGGGAACATTCTGTCTGAAGGGCTCTTCTTGTGCGGCCGTACGATGTTTTTTGGGGGGAAGCTCGGGGGACCCCCACTGCTCTCTGGACTTGGCTCAAGCACCCACACGTCGACCAAACGAAACTTACATTATCTTCGACATGGGGCGCCATGAGAACTCCATGGCATCGCGCGCTTGCCGCGATAGCCGAACAGGCAGGGTTGATTCTCATTACTTTGCTATACTTTAATAAGGGTCAGTCGACCTGCATGGCTCAGCCAGCGGGCAAGCGGTGGAGTGGCGCGGGCCTGGCTAGCTGTCTGCAAAGCCGTCCAAAGGTGGTGGGGGCCACATCAGTACAGAAATGCCTCTCCACGTTCCGTGACCAACATATGAGGTGAGATGGGTGGCTCAATTTCCCTTTGAAAACGACCGACCCTCTGCCAGACTTTGCCTCTATCGCGCCCAGCTCCTGGATGTCACATACGGCTGCAGTCGGGTCTCCTCAGCACCTGTCCAACCACCATCTCGCGGTACTACCCTTCTGCTTCTTGGATACCGCCTGCCATCTCCATTCGCTTCCCTCGCTGACCAGCTCGTGAGGCGATGTCATGAGCAGTTGGGCGAACGACTGCATCTTCTCCTTGCTTTCGCTTCTTTTGGCCTTCGCGGCGGGCTTCTTCTCCCACGTCATGGGCTTGGTCGTTGTACGTCCAGAGGTTGTCTTGGGCCTGTCCACCCTCTCATGGTTGTGGGGCTTGCGCGGATGTTGACGCAGGCCCCAAGCTTCCGCCCTGGCCTCACACGCAGCTGTCAGGGGAGGGGGAGGAGACGAGCGTAAGAGAATCCGCCCCTAGAGGCCCCCGCAATTGAAACATGAACCCGTCGTGAATTGAATAATGGCACCCGCCGTGAGTTGAAAAACGACACCCGCAGTGGGTCGGAAAATGGAAGGGATTTTCGCTGGAAAAATTAGCCTGGCGAAGGACCCAACCATATGCAGTCGTGCGTCCCGCCATTGTGAGTATCTTCTTCGGCGGCACACCTTATTGGGCCACGAAGCGTGTGAGGGGGTGTGCCGAAATGGGTGTAGGGGACGCATGCGGGCGGCAGCACTGGGGCCTTCGGTGGAGCTCCCTATGGGGCCACAAAACGTGTGAGGGGTGTGCCGAAATGGGTGTAGGGGACGCATGTGGGCGGCAGCCCTGGGGCCTTCGGTGGAGCTCCCTATTGGGCCACGAAGCGTGCGAAGGGTGTGCCGAAATTGATGTAGGGGACGCATGCGGGCGGCAACCCTGGGGCCTTCGGTGGAGCTCCCTATGGGGCCATGAAACGTGTGAGGGGGTGTGCCGAAATGGGTGTACGGGACGCATGCGGGCGGCAACACTGGGGCTTTCGGTGGAGCTCCCTATGGAGCCACGAAACGTGTGAGGGGGTGTGCCGAAATGGGTGTAGGGGACGCATGCGGGCGGCAGCACTGGGGCCTTCGGTGGAGCTCCCTATGGGGCCACGAAACGTGTGAGGGGTGTGCCGAAATGGTGTAGGGGACGCATGCGGGCGGCAGCCTGGGGCCTTCGGTGGAGCTCCTATGAAACGTGTGAGGGGTGTGCCGAAATATGGGGATACGTGTGCTAAACGTGGGTGTAAAATGGGCGACGCAGCAACCCTGGGGCCTTCGGTGGAGCTCCCTATGGGGCCACGAAAGCGTGTGAGGGGTGTGCCGAAATGTGTGTAGGGGACGCATGCGGGCGGCAGCCCTGGGGCCTTCGGTGGAGCTCCCTATGGGGCCACGAAACGTGTGAGGGGTGTGCCGACATGAGTGTAGGGGACGCATGCGGGCGGCAGCACTGGGGCCTTCGGTGGAGCCCCCTATGGGGCCACGAAGCGTGTGAGGGGTGTGCCGAATTGGGTGTGGGTGACGATGACGATGACGATGATGACGATGATGACGATGACGATGACGATGATGATGATGATGATGATGCTGCTGATGATGATGATGATGATGATGATGATGATGCTGATGATGATGATGATGATGGGAGGGGGGAGGAGGCGGAGGAGGAGGGAGGAGGAAGGAGAGGAACGCGGGGCACCGTCTCTTCAAAACGAGGACTCAACACCACAGGATGGTTGGGAAATGGAAAGGATTTTCGCTGGAAAAAAAAACGTCACGCTCGAACGGGAGCCGAATCGATTTTCACAAGTTTTCGCACAATTCGTCATACACGTTTTCGTCGCAAAATTTTCCACCGGCCCAAGGGGCCAGATTTTCACAGCAAAGCGGCCCCAATGCCGACGGCGGTGGATGCTCCCGAGCCGGGGAGCAGGCCGGCCCCGAGCGCAACCGGCCAGGCCCCGTTCGCCCAGCGCCCCCGACAGGCCGCCGACGCGGAGCGGGGACTGGGCAGGTGCGCCGGCTCCTCGGCGCACCCTGGCTGCCCGACCCCAGGAGGAGGAGGAGGAGGAGCCCACGCCTCGGAGGGGGGGCGCGGTCTGTCCGCCGCCCGCGCCTAGCCCCCAGCGCCGGCGCGCGTGCCGCCGGCCAGCTCAGTGACGTTGAAGCCGCCGTCCACGTCCTGGGCGGCAGCGACGGTCTCGCCGTCAAGAAGATCTTCCCCAGGTGGAAGATCACCAGCAGAATCAAGTCCAGGGCGGACAGGAGCAGGCTCAGGCTGCGAGCCATGTTGTACCTGACCCGCAGGGAGTACACCAGCCGAAGTCTCCTCCTCCACAGTGTCGGCGGTGAACTGCGCGGCCATAAGCAGATTGAAAGCATCTTGATCTTCATCAGCCTCTCCGACTTCGACTTCGACGTCGTGCATGCTGCAAGCGTCCACGTCAGGTACTTCCATACTTTCAGCTTCGGCCTGCGCCATCATGAGCTCGTCCACGCCCACCACTCCGTCGTCGAGGAACATGGCCTCGGTACCGAGGACAGGGAGAGCGGGATCGTCCACAGCGTCGCCTTCCAATCGAGAGCCAGGGTTGTGCAACATCCAGATCACAAGCTCGCGCTGCTCTGCAGAAAGCTGGTAATTTTCATCCAGATATTGAATAGCAACCTCAATCTGACCAGGCGATAGAGCATCTCCATGTCCCGCAGAGGGAGAATAACCCCCTTGCGCCACTGTGATCACAGACCGAACTAGAGCACTGACAGTTTGGAGCGCGCGCAATTGTAGCATAGCTTGACGTTCCTCATCGCCGTCACGATGAGATGGTGCATCAGATCCTTCATCAAGGGCGCTCCCCGCGAAGCCCACATCCTGCGGGGCAGGCGTGGTTGGCGGCGACGTTGAGGCAGCCGCAGGTGAAGACGAGACAGCGGAAGGCCGAAGCGCCCCCCCGTCTGGGTAGATAACGCCGAACCCGTAGGTAGCCATCGTTTGATTGAAATCATCATCAGAGCTATCGTTGGCAGCCACTGGCGAGGAAGGGCGCGCAGGTGAAGTCCGATTGGGGGGGGGGGGGGGCGTCGCCGAGGCCGCGAGAGGTGCCGACGAAGAGTCCGCCTGACAGAACTCATCGTCAGAGCTAGCAACGGCAGCCACTGGCGAAGAAGGGCGTGACGGTGAAGACCGAGTTGGGAAAGCCGCCGCCGAAGCCGCGGGCGGAGCCGGCGAAGAGGCCGCAGCATCACCGCCTTGGTCACGCCACAGGGACTCCCGAGACCTGCGCAAGATTAACTGTACTTGCGCTTCAAACTCTTCGTCGGTGAGGATGGGGCCGAAGTGATGCGAGAACTCTCCAGCATCCATTGTCTCATTCTCGTGCCCGAGCGGTGGGGATTCACCAGGTACGGGCGCCGCCGTGGCAGTGGGAGTCTCGACCATACTCTCGATGTCCTCGTCGGTTGGGGTTGGGTAGCCGTCCGCATCAATGCTCTCTATGTCTTCGCCAGGCAGATGGGCAGAGGCAGCTGCAGACGCTGCACCCAGCAGGGCTCGCTCGTGAAGGTGTGGGGGCAGAAGCAATTCAGGTGCCGCCGCCTTCGCAGGGCCAGGAAAGAAAGCACGGCGAACTAGCTGAAAATTCTCGCGCTCTTCTGGTGGCACCCTCGTGACATCAGGGCACCAATCCAACTGCCTCAGGTGCGCCAACCCCTGGCGCCGTAGCGCTGCTAGACGGCGACGTTCATTGGGCGGCCACGGGTCGCTGAGCTGTTTACGGAACCGCTCCCTCGGTATAGCTCCTTGATGCCACCCATGCAGGCAAAGATCAATGGCAAGCTCCCAGCGCTTCGCCCCGTCCGTCACCGTGTTAGCAGGGCAATGCAGAAGTCTGTGAAGCCGCCATATCTCAACGTGTCCGCCGTGTAAGGAACGCACAATTCCATCCACTGCTGAAAGTCGCTGCCGCTTGTACTGACAAGCAAACTCGGGACCCATCTCTGCGACCACAACCCAATGCGATCCAGCAGAGCCGTATATTGAGGGTGTCCAGGGAAGCGCGGAGGAAGAGGGTCACCTCCTGCAGCACTGGCAAGAAGCCAATCGCCGTCACATTCTGCACGATTGCCACCTCCGCACTCCCGAAGGGCCACAGGCTGAGGGTGACTAGGGATGCACGGAGGGAGAATGACACCTCTTGCAGCACCAACGAATGGCCGAGCGCCGACACGACCCGAGCGAAAGCCGCAGCCGCTTTCCGCCTCCCAGATATCAACAACCAACCCACCAGCACGAAGGCGCAAGTCCTCGGCAACAAGCGAGCCATAGTCCCGCAGCTCAGGAAGAAGGGGCCGAGATTCAGGTCGTAGGAGTTGGATCTCTTCGTCGATGCCAAGCGTACCCACAGCAAACGACGCCAACCTACAGGGCCACCAGCGGAGCTCCATGAGACTTTGGGCCCGCCCATGTGCCACCTTGAGCCAGCTGCTCGAATGCGATTGCTGTAATTCTGTGTAGTGCTCGGCAAGCCTGAGACGACCAGCACGTGAATTGTGCCATTCCACAGGAGCCGCGCTTGAAGCCAGTGCAGTTCGTCCTTCCAATGCAGCAGAGGGCGCGCTGAACAGACCCACGAAGTGCTTGTAGCGGAAGACGGTGCACAAGAAGTCTGTTGCCCACTTCATCCAGTCTTCGAATTCTGTCAGACCATTCGCCACGAAGAAGAACGAGCACAGCCAATTGCGCGCCCACGGTTGCGCCAAAGATCCTAATTCTGCCAGCCGCGCACACATGATGGGACCGCACCCACTCGGCTGTAAGATAGAGAATCTAGCTTCCCCCCAGGCTGGCGGATAGCGAACACGCCCAGGAAGACAATCGTGCAGTGAGTGAAGACCACGTGGCAAATCAACCACGAGTACTGGAGGCCACTGGACAACTGGGGATGGCGGTTCTGGAGGTCCCGTCGTGCCCACTTGCTGCCGCGGGCGAAAGTGGGTCCGAGTCCGCCCAGCTTTCGGACACGCCAAGGCTCGAACACGAACAGCACCCCGCGTTGTATGGAGAAGGCGCTCAGGGCCGACGTAATCCAGATGCCGAACTTCGTGGTAGATGATGGTGGCGAGCTGCAGGTTCATCAGATCGTCATCGTATGCACCGCGGATGCCCCACCGATCCAGAATGTTGCGAGGCAGTTCGATGCGGCCACCCGGCTTCGCCATGGCAATGCCTCACGCGAGACCGCGACAAGCAAGATAATAGCTAATCTCATCTGAACAACCTTCGCAACCAAAGATGCATGAACGAGGCCCAGACGGAGACGAATTCTCGACGACGTGAGCCAGCCCCCGCACAGGCCGCGCAGCAGCGCTGACGCCCAGGCCGTGGGGTAGGTGGCCATCTTGTCTTGCAAACATTTCCAGTCCATCTGTGTGAGGTCGTCCACCAGGGAGGGGAACCATTTGGACCAACGTTTGACACTTGTGACCACCAACGGCGAGTCAGTGTTGTACTTGATGCTCAGAAACGGCCGCATCATGTCTGGAAGTAACGCCGAATAGGCGGCGCGCTGAACTGCATGACGAGCTTCAGGGACATCTGTGAGGAGTGTGCGCGCCGCATCAGCACCCGAAGAAGCCGCGCGTCGTGAAGCGAAGGCCAAGTGTTCCACATAGGCTGGCTGATCCCAGAAGTGAGGAGATAGGAGATTTCGAAGATCTGCGAGAACACGGAAAGGGGCACATCGTTCGGCGGCCACTTGAAGACGATGGAGGTAACGAGCGTGCTCAGGATGAGAGGTGAGCGCCGATCGAATAAGCGCCGAGCCACACATAGGACCAAGAGCACGAAGTTTGGGGCCACCCCACTGGCCAAGACAGTGAAAATCCACGTGCCGAAGGGCGCCTCCAGGCAACCGCAGAAGCCGCACCAGGTTGTGAATATCCTGTTGCAGCAGCTGCTTGGGAAGTGGTGCGAACTGTGCCACGTAGGACAGCGCGGGAAGCGCTCTGGCCACGTAGTTGATTGCATTCAAAGAAGCAGGCGCAGCCGATGAAGGAAGTGCCGAGATACGAGATCTGTATATCCCACGGGCACAGCCAAGAGCATACATCGGTAACGGCGGGTCCCAACCACATGCCCAGGTAGAGTAGCTTCGCTTCGATGCGAAAGGCACGCCAGTGAGGCACCAATTGTTCAAGCCCAATTCGCAATCCGTCCCTCAGATCTCCACCAAACGCCCCCGCAAGCGGGACGATAACGTACTTCGGTGGCTTGAGCTTAAGGTTGGCAATTTTTTTTCAGCCACCGCCATGACCCGTGCCAAGAGACGTAGGTCCACCAAGGCGAATAACACCCCACCGGTATCATCAGCGCATGCACGAAAGAGACCACGATGTTTGAGCTCCAACCCAATCCGAAGATCTCCAAGAAACGGCGATGTGGCTGCCGCGAACAGGCTACCTGACAACGCGCAACCTTGGATGATGCCGCACTCAATAGCAAAGAGATCCGTAGTAATCCCACCGAGCCGCCCCACCGCCGTGACAGACGCATACAGCGAGCAACAGGCAGAGAAGAGAGCCTCAGGAAGGCGAAGCCGTTTGAGCACCGTGAAGAGGTATTGCTGGCTCAAGCTGGGGAACGCCTGGCCGAAGTCGAGTGCCACCAAGATCGGCTGCTGATCACTCGCTCGAGGATGAAAGGGCGCAGTCCTCGCCATAACGTCGAGTTCAAGAATGTTCGAAGTGAACTGCCTGCCCGCGATAAATTCCCGCTGCGACCTTGAAGTAGTTTGCTGAACGATCGGCGAGAAAGCCACATTTAGCGTCGCGGAGATGAACTTCATATCAGTATTGCGGAGGCCGAGAGTACGCACAGTGTCAGGGGAGCGAACGACACCACGCTCGTCATCGTCTCCAGCAAGACAGCATTTGGGAAGAAATGCCTGCAGCGTCGCTCCCGCTGACGGGAAGAGCGTCTGGCCATCCATCATCCAGCGACAAGCCTGCCATAGCACCTCAGCTCCATGCTCGTGTGCTGCCCATGCTACGTAGGGGAGGCCGTCCACTCCAGGAGCAGAGCGTGAGGCTGGCGCGAAGGCGGGGGCAAATCATCGAACACGCACTGTTTGACAAACCTCTGGGCGTACCTCTCAGCATGTGCAGGGTCTGCAGGAGGGCGAGCAGACACTGGTGCCCAATAGCTAACCAATGCGTTCAACCTCTCGGCGGGATCAGAAAGCTGCTGGTCGCCCACCTGAATGGCGCGCAACGTGAGTCGCTTGCCGAACGGGGCCCAAAGCTTGGCTTTCCTTTGGGCTGCAGAAAGCGTGCCGGGAGAGACCTTAGCGCGTCCTTTCCCATGAAGCGCACCTTGTTGGAGAACTGCAAGTTGTTGCTCAGCTGCTCGATGTTGAATGGTATCCACCCAAGCTTGAAACGCCGAGGGGTGAACCAATTGAACCAGCCCCTCGGGGGGTGATGTTGACGCAGCTATCGAAGACCTCGGACGAGTTGGCAACTTTCTGAGCCCGACGCGCATCCTGCCGCCAAATTGCACGCGCAGCTTGCCGTGCGAAGATCAGTTGGGCTTCAGGTTTGTCGATGTCAGTAACCAGTATTTGTTGGAGCGCATCAAATGCTGCTGAATCTATAAGCACCTTGTACCTCTCAATCTGCCGAGGAGGAGACATATCTGTGAAGAACCGACCATCTTGGCGCAGCAGCTTGCCGAGTCGGGCACGAAAGTCAACACAAAGATAAGCAAAACGCGGAACAGGGCGCCGATAGCTATCATCAAGAGAGCGATGCTGAAGATGGACCCGAAAGGCAGCATGATCCGAAATGCGTTGCTCGCTGAGACGCTCAGGAGAAGCAACAACCGCTGCGGAGTGATGAAGTTGGCAGGCGACCCATCCAGGCTCGGATAACCACAGGCGATCCAGCTGTGCTACAGTCTGAGAGTCCTTGCAATAGTGCGTAGGGTCTTCCGCCGAAATCTCAATCATCTTGTCCAGCGCCACCATCCAGCTCTTCATATGCGTACAATTGATGTTGGTCGGGCGGGTCGATCGCTTCAGACTCGGCTGGGAAAGATGTAGCGGCTCCGATGCAGCAAAGTTGAGATCACCACAGACTACCGCCAATCTTGACTGAGGGTCAGCTTGCGCCCACTGTAAATCTGTTGAACTGAGAGAGGAAATGCGCTGAACATCGTCATGATGGAGGTCATGGTTGTGCATGTTGGAATGGCGAATCTCAGAGTGTGATCCAACCAGCCACGTCTTGAGTACCCGTCCTGGAACCAGCGAGCGAGATGAGGGCGCCGCCATCGAACTAGCAGAAAGCGGGACCACCGTCGCCACGCCACCTCGCGTATCGCCGCAAGCGTCAGTGTCGAACGAACCGAAGACAGTAACCTCTGGAGCGATCCGCCGCAAGAAGAAGCGCAACTCGTCCAACGACTGATGAACCTCCTGTAAGGCAAACACAAAAGACGACCCCCTGCTAACTGTAAGTAAGCCGCTTTCGACATCGCTTGCATGTCTCGCCAACGAAGAAGCGCGCGAGCGTTCCACGTGACAAAGGACAGTTCAGAACACTTTAGAGGGGTACTGCCCGTGGCCTGATGCAGAAAGATGTCGTCGTAGATGCTAAAGAGACTACTCAGGCGCCACCGTCGGCGCAGCGATAGGATCAAGGAGGCGACGCAGCTCTGCACGTGACCATTGCCTTGCAGTGATCGCCGCATCATGCCAGAAGATCGTCGTGGGGTCGCGTCCAGGTTGCGGTTCAATCCTGACAATAGGGTTCCAACTCTCTGCGATCACCCATTTTGACGATCGAAGAAGAATTTGGCGTCCTTGAACTCATCGCGAAGTGCTGCAACCATTCTTTTTTCCTGTGATCTCCATCTTGACCTGAAACGGATTCTTGTCGGGGCCGATATGCAGTTGGGTACTGCCCCCGCTAGCTGCAGGAATGGGGAAGCGCATCCATTGGCCTTTACCTGGTAGACGAAGAGCAGACAACGCGGCAGCAACCTTCTTCCCCGCAGTACCCACTGCCCCATTGAACTGGATCGTGAAGAGCTTGCCTTGTTCGTCGCCCAGAATGGTGAAGCCGTCAATGCTTGCTCCTTTGAGCCATTTATCCACCGAGCTCTGAAAGTCACACTTCTTGGCGAAAGCAGGGGCAACGACCTTGAGAATCGTGCCACCCACCGCACGATTGAACCCAGGTGTCGGCTTAGGCGGCGGAGGGGGCCGATTTGCGACCGCCAACTCTTTGCGGAGTTCGTCAACCAGGGACTTGAGCTGCTCCATGTCAGTGGCCAGTGTCTCTGTGCGGGTGTCAATGTCACGGACCTGCGATTGGATAGTGTCGATCTGCAACTGCAGTCGTCTCTGCGTGGCGTCGAGCTCGGGGCGTAGTTGCGCCTCCAGCTGGGACTTACATGTTTGCGGAACTTGCTGAACGGCAGCTTCAACTCCTTTGATGGCAGCCATGACGGGATCGACGGCGGACGAGGCGGCCTTGCTGGCAGACGCGGTGACCAGCTCGGTAACCTCGTTCTGGAAGATGCTGAACTTGGCCTGCAACTCGCCGTGAATGAGGCCTTTGATCTGTTCTTCCCAGCCATCCGAATCCATGAAGTCCTCTTCGCCGTCACTTGATGCACCTCTGTTGGAGCGGGAACGAGCGTCGTCATCGCCAGCGGCTGCAGGCTGTGCACCAGCACGCGCATCACTATCAGCGGCGCCACTGGCACCCCGTACGGGACGAGGCTTCTTCTTGCGCTTGGCTCCATCTGGCATGAGCGAGACCTCGCGGGCGCCCAAGACTGCTCAGTCGCAGGGCTGCGACAGGCAGCAACCACCGGGGGCGGGCCCGTAGGCTGAGACAAAACTGTCGGGCAACGACGCCCTGGCACTGGCCGCGGACTAGCGGTATCCACGCGTTCCCCTGTGGAACAATCCATCTTGAGCCAAAATGGCTACGGAAGGAGGAGGAGGAGAAGGACGAGAATGAGGAGGAGGAGGAGGACGGCGACGACGAGGAGGACGAGGAGGACGAGGAGGAGGAAGGGGAGGAGGGGGAGGAGGAGGAGGAGCAGGAGGAGGAGTTACGGAGTTACGGATATTGCGACCATGTCGGTTACTCAAGGGCCCAACCAGCAAACTTAAAAGGGTTTACCCGCTGCGGCGCGCTTGGCACGCTCAACTTTGCTATATTGCTTGAGCCATAAACCCTGCTGAACTCGATTAAGGTAGTCCTGGCGACTACGCTTGGGTTCGCACTCCTTGGAAAGCTTCGCTAACTGTTCAGCTGCGAAGCTCCCGCAGGTTGCACAACGCCAGACCCCCAGTCCAGCATGATATTTGAGGCTATGGGAAGGATGAGCGCATCCCCCCCCCCCCCCCCCCGCCCCACGTGCACCCGCTGCCCTGGAGGGGGGCCCCAAACTGCACCATCGCCCGTGGAAGGGGGAAAACAAGGAGAGTCCAGCCAAGCCTTCTTCTGGGCCTGTGAGGTCGACCCCTTGCACTGATTACAGCCAAGGCCTGACTCAGACAGCTGATGCTGAGAGCTAAACGCGCTGCAGATCATTGGGGCAGGCGGCCTAGGACCAGGGTGTCTCAGACGGGGCCTCGACCCTTCTTGATCTTTCTCAGCTTCTATCGCTTCTCACGTGCTCAACAATATTCTCGTGCGGGCAAGATATGCCATGTGCTCGATGCGAAGAACACGTGCGCGCGCGTCGGCATTCACTCGCACGGAACTCGCTGCGATGCCAGCAAGTTCGTCAGCAACTGCATTACCGAGAATGAAAGGCACGGGCGCTCTATTATTGCACATGTCTATAGCTTCCTGGTGTGAGTGAACAACAGTAACCGTGATCGACAACTGACAACTCCTAGCTTTCAAGACAGAACCGATGAGAAACCAGAGGTCAGCATTTTCACCAGACGGGGCGGCGGGGAGGCCGTTGTACCAGCCTGAGCATGCTGCGGCATTGTCCGTGATGAAGACCACGTGGCCGCATCCACCCCGCACCGTGAGATACAGGGCGTGCAGCTCACCCCTCGCCGCCGTCTGGACAGCTCCAGGGAGCCCTCCCCATATGCCGATCTCGATCATCATATCACTGGTGAGGTCGGAGAAAACTGCCACCGCTAGGCCGACACGACGGAGGGCTGCATCGCGAGTGTCTGCGCCCCCGCTGGCGTCGCCGAAGATGTAGGTGGGCGAATCCTCTGAACCTCTCGGGAGACATGCCTCCTGGAAATCGCTGATGCCGTAGCACGTCCAGTCCTCCGTCTGGATCGGCTCTGGGATATCCAGCCACAGCGTGGGAATCAGACCTCGCACCCAGAAGCATGCCTCGGCCTCACGTCCTGCTTGTGCTCTGGCTGCGTATTCATCAGACAGGGTGCAGATCCCGTGAGATTTGCGGCCTGAGCGTTCCCAGACTCGATAGAACGAGGTCTCCTTGAACTCCTTGCAGCGCATACACCATTCGGAGACACTCTGCTTGGATCTCTGTTGTCTTCGCGTCCGTGGCCCTGCAGCACCTGCAGCCGACGCCAAAAGCAAACCCGCCAAGCGTCGCCCACCTGGGGCAGCCTCCAACAGGCGAAGTAGCTGACGATATGATGCATTGTGGATGCCCTGCTCCATCCCTGCGCCATCGAAGTGGGACGAAGCTGCAAACCACAACTGTCTCTGAACCGTGTGCGTGAATCCAGAGAAAAACTGATGCGGGACGTCGATATTGCTGACGCCCGTGAGGTTCTCGACGCGAAACTCCCATCTCTTGACCATACCGGTGCCATCCGACGGAACCTGCCACTCTGATGGACTGATGGGGTCCCATCCTGCCTCGAGGAGATATGCGACAACTGTACCTTGAGGTCCCCGAAGATGTCGGTGCCACTGCTCAGGTGTCATACTCTTGAATTCGTGCAGAAGCTTCCGCCACGACTGATTGATACCTGAGCGAATGTGCGGCACCGACGTCCAGCATGACAACCATAACCGCAAACAAGCCACTGGAATTTTGCAAGCAGGATCACGTCGGTGGGCGCGGAGGTCGAGCAGTGTAGTTAAACGCCGCCCTGCCAGCCTCGGAGCAACTGCATTCGCCACCGTCCTACGTACCTGCAGCATCTGCTGACCGAACAGCCCGTGGAGATGATGGCCATGCGTGCCAGCGGCCTGGGCGCCCTGCTGTTCAGGGCGACTCGTCAGGCCATATCGTCGTGTCACACGCGCGTACTGCAACACTTTCCTGCTCATCCTGGCGTGCTTGACGGCCCTCGCTGTTCGGGTCGCCCTCGCATGCCTCTTGCCGCCTCCCATATCCCCGCCGAGGTATGCTGTCTGGCCCACGGCATTGATGTGGTGCCCCTTCATGCGCAGCCTCCGCGCGATGGTCCTGGCGTCACATCCACGAGTACAAAGGGCCACGCTCTTCGGGGAGACTTGTAGGCCTGCAGCCTGGATAGCCTCGCACGTGTCGGACAGGCATTGGACCATCTTGGCGATCACAACCTCCCGAGAAGCAGGGTAGCTCTGGCTTAGGTCATCGGTCCACAACCTGTGCGACATGTCCTCGTGCATCGTCGTAATTCTCGCCATGCTGTGATACGTGACACATTTGGCGAACCGTGTCCCAGCCCCGAGGCCATGGGCGATCGACCTCGCGGGGTCGAAAGGTGCTGAGTGCGCTCCAGGCTGGCGCACGCAGCGCGACGCCATGCACTGCAGCAGCTCCAATCCCAAGATCTGGGCCGGGAAATCCAGCCGCAGCGCAGTCTGGCCCAACAGCATCCACCCGATCGTGTCGTAGAAACTGGCGAGGTCGATGAGGCCATGCCCATGCTCGGTAGACAGTCGCACCGCCAACTCCTCGTCGATCGCGCGCAAGAAAGCCTCGCGGACCGCCGAGTTGCCGCGGATGGCGGCATCCCAGTGCGCCTCGCACTGGCCCGTCCATGTGCGAAAATGTCGCTCGCGAGCTGCTGACCAAAGCCGTGCAATATGAGGTAACAAACCTGTTACGCGGTCTCCCTTGTGCTTCTTAGGGAGCAACGTCCCTATAGTCAGCAGGAGCTGATGTGGCCAGACTTGCCTTGCTTCACGTACATTGAGTAGTGCAGCCAGCTCGTCTAGAGCTGGGTCGGGCAGACGTGACGTGTCCAGAGGTGTCAAACGATCCACTCCCATAGCGCCACACTTCATATGATCAGACGCCTCCCTCAGGGTAACACCGTCAAGGGGGGGAAGCGCCTCGTCTGAAACTCGCTGTCGGATTTCGTGAACAAGACCAGGCAATTCGCTCAGCGGCAGACCTGGTGGCCCCCACAATGAAACCCAGTGTTCCCTTTTATGTTCCATGATATCTTTGGGGTGTACAATTGATGTTCCATTCACTTCCAAGGTATCGCTGGCAAGCGGCTGCTCTCTGATAGCCCTGTGGAGGGCACTCAAAGCGGGGACTGTCTCAGCCCACGTGCGGAACTCACCCATTGCCTGGTGTAGTGCACGTCTCTGAGCCCGCCGCGCAACCTTGTCAGCCGCCTCGGCAACAACCTTGAGCTCCTCGAGGGAACTCTCACCAATGCGCTCGAGAAATGATAATCAGAAATCCCAGCAGTAGTGGTCGGAACGTCGGACCACCTGATGACCGCGATCTGGGGCTTCCTCCTTGAGGCGCCCCGCGGCTTCCAGAAGGAGGAGCTGCTGCTTGAAACCTGAGTCCTTGTCCCTGTGCCTCGACAGGGTGGTCAAAACCGTAGAAATGCGTGTCCACCAACTTGCAATCTTAACCCTGAGCGCAACCTCCCGCGCTGGCTTTGCCCTCTGTCTCGAGAAACTCGACTGGCTCACCGCGTGACCGGCCGAGGGCGACCTGGCCGTGATGGGGGTGCACGGTAGCTTCGACTGCCTGGAACCAGGCCGCGAACAGGGCTGAGACGATGCCTGAACCGCTTGAACAGAGCCAAAATGCAACGGAGGAAACAACGGCAGCGCCAGGAGGCAACGCAGCCGCAGGAATAAAACCTACAGCCTTCCTCTGCTCCGTCCACAGCTGATCGGGAATCGCGAAAGCTACATATTCAGCAAAGACAAGGGACCCTGGACTCCCCTGGCGGTGCGGAAACTGACTCCTCGACAGGGGCGGTGCGCGGGGTGGGGTTCATGCTGGAATGAATTCGACTGAAACTGATCACCCACAGAAGGAGGCAGGGGCGGTCGGGGCGGCCAGTCCGAAGTTGGCCTCGTGGATCCACGGGCCCTCCTCGCTGCCGTCGGAGTCAGGTTCCTCACCGCCGAAACCTGTTTCAGCCTCACTGCCTTCTTTACTGTGGGGGCCCCTTATTACCACCACTATCATGCTCAACCTTGGCACTACTACAAAGCACAAGCTGTTCATTGAACCACTCGCGTACTTTGCAATCACGACGCTCGCGAGCGGCCTGGCGGGCAATCCTAGACTGTGCCTTGGCCTTGCTAGACTTAGACCCTGGAACAGGTTGTTTCGAGGGCCCACTGGCACAGGGCAACTGCTTTGGGGGGGGCCATCACGCGAGTGAGCATCTGACTGCCTGATGCTGCAAGTTGGACGCTGAGGCCTATATGGGGCTTCCAAGGGAGGTCTACAACTGCAGAGACAGAACGCACATATGGCCGAGCTGCTTCATTGAATACAGCATAATCAATGTGAGACGATTTTGGCTTGCCGTCTGGAGCGCAGGTAAACTCGGCATCGGACAACCATACAGGGCCGCCGACTCGCTTCAGAAACTCCGACCTCTGAAGGTCGGCGGGGGAGACGTTCCAGTCACCCAACACGAGCCACGGCAGGTGGATAGCCGTCAGCACGGTCCCCAACTTAGCGAAGCGGTTCACGTTCTCGTGGGTGAACCCCATGCTGGAGACACCGTAATAGATGAAGACGGCAAGCGTGAAACCCTTCATGTCTAAAAGGCAGGGGAGGAATCCGTCTAGAACTCCACCTCGCTCTGCCTGGAGTTGGTTGCACGTGTAGGCGGCGTCGAGCATGCGAACTGGTCTATGATTGCGAGCTAGCAGCCACTCACCGCCTTCATTCGAATGCTGGTGATCACCTTTGGCGTAGCGAGACTTGGGCCTGGCTCCATTGTGGAGCAGGCGTGGCGAAGAACTTCTCGCTTTGCCAATCCATTTCCGAGTGTCGCGCTTGCTGACGTGCGTCTCGCAGACACCCAAGCACTCGTGCGTGGCACTGAGCTCGGTCAAACGCCCCCAGGCTTTGTCGCCCATGCACGTCACGCTGCTGAAGAAAATCCTGACAGTGTCCTCTGACTGCTGCTGCGCAGTCGGGCCACTGCCCCCCGAGGTAGATGAGGTAGTCGCCGCGCTGCTCGAGCCCGAAGGAGCAGTAACGGCATCACCCCCACTTGAAGTACCCGACGATGTATTGGTAGATGAAGGCGCTGACATGCTGACGTCTGGGCCCGCAGCTGCGCTGGCGCTGCTGAGCCCCGTCGCCTCTAGTCATTCCTTCTTGGCAGCCTCATGGCCACCTGCGGCACAAGTGGAGACGTTGGTTGCCGCCGTCGTAGCCGATGTGCTTCCTCCTGCTGCTGCCTTCGCGCCCTGGCCGCTGACCTTCGCCTTGAGGTCCGCGGCCTTCTGCGCCTTCTGGGCTGCCTCGAACTTGGCCTGTGGCAGCCTGGCAGCCTCCCTCTTGAGCTCCTCCGAGGGCGGTGGACTAGGGGTAGGAGCTGAGTTGGCAGCGGCTGCCGCTGCGGGCTCCTTGGCCGGGTCCTTGGCCTGGGACGCCGCGTCCTGGCCCTCCTCGGTCTTCCTCTTCTTCCCCTATGCACTCCTCGACATCCTTCTTGACCGAGTCGAGCTTAGCCATGAACTTCTGGAGTTCGGAGTCCTTCGCGGCAAACGACTCCTGCATGGTCTTCAGCTCAGCCTTGAGGTTGCGGAGGATGACCTTATCGGCTTCCTCGCATTCCCACTCTTCGAACTTCTCGAAAACCTCAGGGTTCATTTGCAGACTGAAATGCACGCCCTTGCCCTGCTGGTCCTGCGCCGTCTCGGCAGCTGCCTTGACGCCTTCAGCTTGGGCAAGGGCGCGCGTCGCACTTCTCTTGTCCTCCTCAGCCTTGGCGAGGGCTAGGGCGGCCTCCTGCTCTTTGACTTCGGCACCCTGAAGCTGGCGCCGCAGCCGTAACACCTGGCTCACCAGCTGCTCGTGCCGATGGCTAGCCTGCCTCCAGGCTCCGTCAGCACGCTTCACGGAGTCGACGGCCGACACGTCGGTCGTCGCCTGGTCCTTCAGCTTGGAGCGCTGAGCTCCCAGGGCGGCTCGCGTCTCAGGGTCGTCATTGAACTCGACTGCCTTGGCCAGCAGCCCATCAAGGTTCTTGCTGGCGTGGTTCTTGGGACCCTTGCTGCGGCCTGGGCTGCGAGTGCGCCTGCCCTGGCCCTGCGACCCCTGGTCCTCCATGTCGTCGATGAGCTCGACGTCGCTGTCGAAAGAGACCCGCCTCTCCACGGACGAGTCTCGCTGACGGGATGCATCATAGAGCTTCACCTGCTTGCCGCAATATACGCACTTCCTGTTGTTAGCCAACAACTTGGTGTTGTATTCGCATGTCTTGCGATGAACACACCTGCTCCATGGAAACTTCGAGCCTGCCATTGGAATGGAAATTTCTCCTGTCTTCGTTGACGTCGTCTGCTGTGGGCCCAGCAGCGTCTAAATCCCCCAAGCACTACGCGGAAGTGCAAGAGAGGCCAGAACACGCGTGCCCTGCGCACGGGGGCGAGGGACTTGGTGCTTCAGCCCAGATTGCTTGAGCAGGAGGAGGAGGAGGATAAGGAGGAGGAAAAGGAGGAGGAGGAGGAGGAGCAGCAGCAGGAGGAGGAGGGGGAGGAGGAGGAGGAGGAGGAGGCATCATGCGTCTGAGGCCGCACGCGCGCACGCGCGCGCGCGGCAGCTTCTCTCCCCGACCGCCAGGGGCGAGTCTGGCGGCATCATGCTGTCGACGTCAAAAGGAGAAGGGGGGTAAGAGAAGGAGGCGGACGAGGAAAATGATAGGAGACCGTTGCGCACACTAGCAACCGAATCCCACAAGCCTTTCGGGCCTAGGTGGCTTAGCGAGTTAGTGCTTTCAACCTCCTCCTTCTCTTGGGGTGAGGCTTAATTTTCCTCCTGCCCCATCTCCCTGGGTCTGGAGGGAGCGTTCCGCGGGTCGTTGGAAGGTCCAAGATGGCCTCAAGACGGTTTTATGAGGGCCCGGGCTGGCCGGAGATGGCCTCCAACATTGTGCAGTGCATCCCACGATGGTTACATACAGCCTCCAGTACGCCTCCGAGAAGCTTTGATGCCGCCCGAAAGCGGCCCCGAGTGGCCGCGGAGCCTCCCAGGGACGCCCCCGAAAGGCCATCACCATTCAAACGCAACAAAAAACTGCATGATTTGTTGCGCTATCGTCGCGCGGTTCCGGTGGGCTCCGCGGAGCGCCGAGGTGCCTTCAGGATGGCCCGACCGAGCCCCGAGAGGCGCTGGCCATCGCTCGGACGTCCATTCCGTGTGCTTTTTTCGGTTTCGTGCGTGGTTTTTCCGCCAAATGATCAAGGATGCTCCTCGATGGTCCTCGCCGAAGGAAAAATGCACACGTCCGAGCGATGCCAAGGGCGCGCAAGGCGGCCCCGAAATCGCCAAAGAGCGCCCCAAGAGCGCCTCGGTTGGGCCCCGAGAGGCCCTTCTGCTGTCAGCGAGGGGTGGAGCGTGCTTGGCCACCGCCCCTCTTCGATCGATGGCCTCCGAGACGGCCCCAAGATGCCGCCACAAGCCCCTCAGAATCCCCAAGAGATCCCAGGAGGGCCCCAGGAGGGCCCCAAGAGGGTCCACGAGGCTTGCAAACTGGCCTCAACAGGGCCCCGTAGCCCCAAGATGCCTCCGAAAGGATGCCAGAGCGTGACTGCATGTTGTTAGGCATTCCTGGTCAATAGAGCTCGCCTGTCGATTGATTTTGGACGGGCTGGTGGGGATGCGCGAAGCGTCGACAACCGGCCACCCAAATATGGCTGAGCATCGTTCGGACACGCGTCCAACCGAACGAATGACGCCACATGGGCCAAGTTAGCATCATCGAATGCATGCACTGGAGCATGGCCAGGGAGGCGGCGCAGCCGGCCGCGCACGTGCGATAAACCCATCGTTTTCAAACGCGCGGCGCAAAACTTCGAACATACGTTCTAAAGGCGTAACATGTTTCACGTAGCGCTTCGCAGCCGTCGTTGGGCAGGCGGCTTTCTGTCTCCAACGGACAACACCCGCGGCCGCGCCGACAGCGAAGCCTGCTCAAAACGGACAGGAACTGCTCTCGGTCTTCGTGCTCACCCTTTCCGTGCATGTCGATCGTGCCGAGCTGGGTGCAGGAGGGAGAGGGCGGGGGCAGGCCAGAGGGAGGCGTCGACTGAACGCAGCAGGTCTGTGGCGCGACAACCCTGGTGTTGGATTCTGACTTGGCGGCAAGCGAGGGGGGGAAGTGAGAAGGAGAAGGCCTTCTCAGAAGGAGGCGGGACTTCTCAGAAGCCCTCGCGCCTCCTGAGAAGTTCTTTCTGCCTCCAGGGGAGGCTTAGAACACGCCTCAGAAGGCCGGGAGACTTCCGAGCCTTCTGAGAAGGCCTTCTCCTTCTCACTTCCCCCCCTCGCTCGCGGCCGACTGATTGGGCGCCCGAGTTATCCGGGGTAACTCGGGTCCAGGGTAACTCGGGTTTGGATTCCCTGAAAAGGAACCCGAGTTAGCCCTGACCCGAGTTACCCCTGATGATGTGGGGCTCTGGACGCCCGAGTTATCCGGGGTAACTCGGGTCCAGGGTAACTCGGGCTTGGATTCCCGAAACACGAACCCGAGTTAACCCTGACCCGAATTACCCCTGATGATTCGGGGCTCTGAACTGACACCGCGCGGATCGTTCAACCTTGAGCGCTCGGCGGCTTCTCGATCGTCAGGTAGTCCCGTGCACCGGCCGATCCCGGGCGGCGTCCAGAGAGCCTGGAGAGCGCCTGCGGCGGGGCCGCCGCCGCGCGGGCACCACGCGCGGCCAGCCCAACTTGAGCTTAAGCGAAGCGGGAGGGGGGGGGGGGGCCAGGGCGGGATCGGGGAGACGGAAGACTCGGGTGACGCAGGATGACGCTTAATAAAGAACTGGGAGAGAACGATAAAAGATAGTTTTCAGCTGTCTCTGCATAATTTTCTGACTGGAAGAGAACGATGTAAAAAATAGTTTTCCAGCCCGCGGCCGGTTTTTTCTAGTCGTCATCCCGGGCGCCGCCGCGTGAACACGACCTCCGGTCTTAATCGTCATCATCCAATACGGGGGACTCGGCTTGGCATCACGGGGTCATCATGACGAGGCCCAGTCTGAATTTGCCGCGAGGTCCCGCCGCAAACGTCCCGCGAACACCGGACCGTCAAATCCAGGACGCGCTCGTCAAACAAAAAGTCGGCAGTCCCGAGTTCCGGCTTACTCGAGTCTTACGTTTCCCCGACGGGAGAGGGAGGGACAAGCGAGGCAGATGTTCGAGAAAAACGCAGACATCCAACGTCTCGACTTTTTCGAGAACCATGCCCCCGACTTCTCGTTCACTTCCCCTCCTGTACTATTCCTCGGGGCCGGTTTCTCATCCCGAGCCAATTTTTGATCGTCCCGATGCCTGGTAAGGGCCTGGGGAGGTCGAAAGATGTGCCGAAACCTCCGCCTCGATCTCTTCGAGACGCCCGATGCCTGGGGAGGGGGTCGGGTGTTGCTAGAAGTGCCCCTGGCCCAAGGTGCCCCCAAGATTTTCCAGGAGGCCCCCACGTCCTCCAGAGCGCCCCTCACAACGCCCAAAGTCGGGGGCAGAAAATCCACCCCGATGAGAACCACCCAGACACGCGAAGCCGTTTGGTAAGCGCACCTAAAGAAGGAATCAAAGAGGGCAAGGCTTAGTGAACGCCCAGGGCCGTTTAGAAAACGCCAATTGTCTGGTCCGGGTGGTTTTCTCCCTTGACAGAGGGCCCCAGGGGCTCCGAAATGAAGCGACAAGATGGGGGCACCTTGGGCTAAGTCGGGCGCGTCCCCCTACAGGGGGATCTTCGACGAAAAATAAGACATACCCCAAAAATATGCCAAAAAGGCCAAAACATGCTCAACAAATCGTCCCCAGACTATTTTTTTGACTATTTTGGAATACTCCCCCTGTAGAGGGACAGGCCCGACTTAACCCTTGACAGGGGGCCCCAGGGGCTCCGAAAGTGAGCGACAAGATGGGGGCACCTTGGGCCAGAGGCACCTTTATGAAGGGGCCCCGGGATACAATACACACAATTTAAAAAGATTCCCCATATTTTCTGGGTTTCTGTCTTCCCCTCCACTTCCCATGTTTTCCTATATTTTCGGGGGAATCGACGATTCATTGTGTCTGTGTGTCTTTTCCCCTCCTGAAAGATGGGGGCACCTTGGGCCAGGGGCACCTCCAGCAACTCCCGAGGGAGGGCGTGCACCGGCCACTTCTCCGGACGGAGGCTGCGCCGGCGCGCCCGCGCCGCCCTGCGGCCGCCACCCCTCGGAGCCGGCAGCCCTTCGCTCGCACCTCTCGGCGCCGAGCGAGGTGGGGAAGGGAGAAGGAGAAGACCCTCTCAGAAGGCGGCGTTTTTTTTGTTGTTATATATTATATATTATATATATATATATATATATATAAAATTTCGGCGACGACCTATTTTGGCAACGAAACGTGCCGTGCCAAGCCCTCTGCCACGAGGGGGGCCAGTGTTCGGGGGACAGGATCCCCAAAAAACCAGAAAAGCGGCGCCCCAGCCAACCTGCTATAGGCGAGCCGTCGCGCGCATCCATGGCCATAGGCGGCGGGGTTTCTCAGAAGCCCTCGCGCCTTCTGAAAGGTGTATGTGTGTCTCCGAGGAAGGCAGGGGAAACTTCTGAAAAGGCCAGGGGACTTCCGAGCCTTCTGAGAAGGCCTTCTCCTTCTCACTTCCCCCCCTCGCTCGCCGCCGAACCTCGGGCCGTGCGACGCGGTCGACGTGAGCTTGCAGGTCCTGCAGCAATGGGCATACCTGCGGAAGAACAGAAAACGCCATGAACATGGTTCCGAGCGCGCCAAAGGCGGCGCCGGATACCCCACGCCCACGCCGATGCAAGAAGACTGTCCGGACCTCCGGGAAATTATCCCTATGCCGCTTCTTAGATGCCTCCCAGGTGTGGTTCGAATACATGGGGTCGAATCGGATCGCGCCGCATCCCCGATGCATCGGCGATGCTTCGGCGCCATCCGCGTGGCGAAACCCTGGCTCCACATCTGCTTCGACCCCATCTACTCGCACCCCATCCCCAGAAGCCCAATGCCAATCCAAAAATCCGGCGTCTGGTTTTTTCTGGACGCGGGCCCCCGACCTCTCGCCCACTTCCCCAGGACCGGTTTTTCATCCCAAGCCGTGCTTTGACGGTCTCCCGGGACCCCGTGAGGGCCCTGAGAGGCCGAAAACGAGACAGAACCTCCATATCCCATCTTCCTGTGCTGCCCTCGGCCCTCCAAACCCGCACAAGGACGCACTAGTACTTTTCTTCTCCTCTGAGAAGCGCGTCCGACCCGATCACGTAGTATGTGGGCATCTTGTGGTGTATTGTTTATCGAGCGGTACAGCAAGAAAGCGCCCGCCACGCAGTTTATACTCCAAGATTTCTCGGCGCGCGCGTCGCCCCTGGATGGGGCGACGCACACCTAGTATGAGTATGTTCTAGCAATCGCCTGGACGTCCATCCCCCGTGCACTTTGCGTTGTCGTGCGTGCCTTATTCGCGAGAGGATCGAAGATGCTCCTCGACGGTCCTCCCCGAGGGAAGAAATGCACACGTCCGAGCGATACCAAGTGTTTGGGTGGCAACGAGAGCACCCCCACAGCAAGAAAGCGCCCGCCATGTAGTTTATACTCTAAAATTTCTCGGCGCGCGCGCGCGTCGCCCCTGGGGTGGTGGTGGTGACGCACACACACAATATTAGGATTTTCTAGCCATCGCTCGGACGTCCATTCCCCGTACATGTTTCGATTTCGCGCGGGTATTTTCCGCGAGCTGATCGAGCATGCTCCCCGACGGTCCTCCCCGAGGGAAACATGCACACGTCCGAGAGATCCCAAATGATCGGGTGGCGCCTGGAATTCTTCCGCGACTGAGTGCCCTCGGCCTCCTCCCGTCCTTCGCGGCCGCCCCGTCTGTCTAGCTCCTCCCTCTTCCACGCTGGCCAATGAGCGTGCCCAAACCCCCGACGTCCTGATTCTTTCATGACGTCGACCCCCAGAGGTTTCGACCTATTCCCTGGGACTAGTTTTTTGACGGTCCTAGGCCCGGTAATGGCCCCCAGGGGCCGAAAGTTAGGAAAACCCTCCCGTCGTGATTTTTACCTAACAGCGAAGACTGATAGGTTTCTAATGGAGCATCATGGGCAGATGCCGGACGGGTGCCCCGGGAATCCGGGGACTCACCATTTTGACTGCCAGGAACAACATTTTGACTGCCCGGAGCCAAAAGAACACCATTCCCAGGCCACATTTTGAATGCCCGGAGCCAATTGTAGGCCACTTCGTGTTCTTCGTGCTCCCAGAACACCATTCCTAAGCCACATTTTGAATGCCCGGAGCCAACTGTAGGCCACTTCGTGTTCTTCGTCTTCCCAGAACACAATTCCCAGGCCACATTTTGAATGCCCGGAGCCAACTGTAGCCCACTTCGTGTTCTTCGTCTTCCCAAAACACTATTCCCAGGCCACATTTTGAATGCCTGGAGCCAACTGTAGCCCACTTCGTGTTCTTCGTGTTTCCAGAACACCATTCCTGTACCATATTTTGATTGCCCAGAGCCAACTGTAGGCCACTTCGTGATCTTCGTGTTCCCAGAACACTAGTCCTGTGCCACATTTTGAATGCCCGAGCTGAGGCAGGCTGAGGCCGAGGCAGGCTGAGGCCGAGGCAGGCTGAGGCTGAGGCTGAGGCACGCCGAGGCAGGCTGAGGCTGAGGCTGAGGCAGGCTGAGGCTGAGGAGGCAGGCTGAGGCTGACGCAGGCTGAGGCCGAGGCAGGCTGAGGCTGAGGCAGGCTGAGGCTGAGGCAGGCTGAGACTGAGGCTGAGGTAGGCTGAGGCTGAGGCTGAGGCTGATGCAGGCTGAGGCTGAGAGGCTGACGCTGAGGCTGAGGCAGGCTGAGGCCGGCTGAGGCTGAGGCTGATGCAGGCTGAGGCTGAGGCAGGCTGAGGCTGAGGCTGAGGCAGGCTGAGGCTGAGGCCGAGGCAAGCGCAGGCAGGCTGAGGCAGGCTGAGGCAGGCTGAGGCTGAGGCCGAGGCTGAGGCTGAGGCTGAGGCTGAGAGGCAGGCTGAGGCTGAGGCTGAGGCAGGCTGAGGCTGAGGCTGAGGCAGGCTGAGGCTGAGGCCGAGGCAGGCCAGGCCGAGACATGAGGCGAGGAGGATCTGAGGCAGGCTGAGGCCGAGGCAGGCTGAGGCCGAGGCAGGCTGAGGCCGAGGCAGGCTGAGGCTGAGGCTGAGGCAAGCCGAGGCTGAGGCTGAGGCTGAGGCTGAGGCTGAGGCAGGCTGAGGCTGAGGCAGGCTGAGGCTGAGGCTGACGCAGGCTGAGGCCGAGGCAGGCTGAGGCTGAGGCTGAGGCTGAGGCTGAGGCAAGCCGAGGCAGGCTGAGGCTGAGGCTGAGGCAAGCCGAGGCAGGCTGATGCTGAGGCTGAAACTGAGGCAGGCTGAGGCATCCGTAGGAATCCATGGAATCCTTAGGAATCCCTAGGAATCCTTAAGATTCCATTGGATCCTAAGGCCGTTGCCACTGCGACTGTCATTGCGAATGCGACTGCGACTGCAAGAACAGCAGAATTCTACAACTGGATATGTTCACCTGAATCTTAAGGGGAATGCTTCCAGATATGCTTACACACATCGCTGTTAGGTTGCTTTGCCGGGATAATTAACAATTCCTAGAAAGGGGGTCTGGGCATCGGCTGCCCCGATCGCCCGCCCGCTGGAGCAGCACTTCTGCCTCGCCGCCGACGAACAACAAGCTTGGGTTAGGTCGGACATGTCCCCCTACAGGGGGATTTTGGACGACAACTAAAACATACCCCCAAACTATGCAAAACAAATATCAACATATCGTCGCCTGACGATTTTTTGGGGCATTTTTGAAGTTTCCTCCTGTAGAGGGACAGGCCCGACTTAAAATTTTGGGCGCCCGAGTTATCCGGGGTAACTCGGGTCCGGGGTAACTCGGGTTTGGATTCCCGTAAGACGAACCCGAGTTGGCCCTGACCCGAGTTACCCCTGATGATTTGGGGCCCTGGACGCCCGAACTACCCGGGGTAACTCGGGTCCGGGGTAACTCGGGTTCGGAACCCCGAAAAACGAACCCGAGTTAGCCCTGACCCGAGTTACCCCTGATGACTCGGGGCTCTGAAAATTTGGGTGGCGCGGAGAGCACCCCCACGCGCTCGGCCTGCCGCAACCCGCCTCGCACGGCGCAGGCACCCCGCCGCCGGGCCCGCCGGGCCGCCCCGCGGCGGCGGCCAGCAGCAGGCGGAGCTGCGGGGTCGCGAGCAGCTGCCGCAGGGCCTCCTCGGGCGCGCACGCATCGCGCGGCGGGGGGCCCGAAGAGGCCACGCCACGAAAAAAGTCTATGGCGGAGGTCGGTCGGAATCCCGGAGCCCCAAAAACGTTTTCCTCTCCTGGGGGCGCATCTGCTACTTCCGCCGCCTTCCGCCGCCCTTCCGCCGGCTTCCGCCGGCGGAAGCAGCCTCGTTTTACTTCCGCCGCGGAAGAGATGACAACTCCTTCCATCCTCGAAGGCGAGGCCCTGTTTGGAGCTCTCCATATATACACAGACGCCCTCCGACGAATTTTGCATGTACCTTCTGGGAGGGTGGGGGTGTGTAAAGTCGCTGGCCCTTAATGGGAATTTGCGCACCGGCGCCTAAGGGCACAACTAGGTCGTGCAAAAAAACACAACTGGGCTGAACACGCATCGGGCCGCACCAGGTCGCCCGGAACAATCGGAATCGGATCGGATCGAGCGGGGCGAAAGCGGCTCCGAAGCAGATCGATTGGGTAGAAGAAGTGTTCACTGGCTGGACGAGAGAGGGGCCGGAAGGAGGGAACTGGCTCAGGGGGGGCAGCAAGGACCTGGAATCGGCGATGCATCGCCGATGGACCCCCCAGCTTCCTGGGCAGTTTGGGGTATCCCGTAGCGGGCGAAGAGCGGTATCCGTCGAGCCGTTGTGGGTCTCCACGAGTGTGAGATACAGTCAAACCTAAGCCAGAAACACATCCTTCCAAGAACATGGGGCCCTCCGCCAGCCCAAACGCCCCAAATCCGCCGACCCCTTGTGGGTCTCTAGGCGTGTGAGATTATATCCCCCTCATGATTCCCCCCCAGGGACCCCAAACCGGCAATTTGACCCCCCCTCCTGGCCGCCCACGACCCCAGACCGAACGCGCCACGGGGGAGTGGAGGGCTCCAAAACTTGCCAAGAAGGCACCAAAACGCTCCCCAGACGGTCCCAGGGGACCACGATTCGCCGAAATATCTCACCTGGACGCCCACGATGGCCTCCAGGCGGCCTCCGAAGCTGCCAAGATGCCCCAAAAAGCCCCCCAGATGCGCCCCAAGAGGGTCTCAAGAAACAGAAATCGCCCCATTCCCTTCCGAAAGAAAAAGCATTTTTCGCATGCTCGCCTATTCGGTTTTCACAACGTCCCAAACGGGCAAAGAAACCTTCAATATCGCCCCCAGACGGCCAAAGTGGCCCCCAAGAAGGGTCGAAGAGGTCCCAACAACAGCCCACGAAGCCCCCAAGACAGCCCAAGAGGGCCCCTAGACGGGTCCAAGATGGAGCCCAGAGGGCACCTTTTCGAGCCTTCGGCCCCAAGACGCCCCCAGCCTGCAGCCTGCCCCAAGAACACCCCAAGAGACCCTGAGGGACCCCCAAGAGAACCTCAAAGGCCTCCAGGAAGCCCCCGAGAGGCCCCAAAACTTGGCCCAAAATGCCTCGAGGCGGCCGGATATGGCCTGCAGACAGGCCAAGATGCCACCAAAAGGCCACAAACAAGCACCAAGAGGTACGATAACAGCAACGAAGCAACATGAACGATGTCGAGCGCCGTGTCATGATTCGGACAGGCCTCGTGAGATGCAGTCCTGGAAGCGCAATCGTTTATATAGGGGTCGGCGGATGTGGCGTAAGCCTATATAATCACAAGATCACCGAGGGTACCGTTTCCCAGGATGCACAAGAACATCCAACAGACACGAATAACACTATGGTACCCTCCGCGAACCGACCTCGACCTCATGCCTCGGTCCTACTGTAGTCCACCCCCAATTCTCCCCCCAGGGACCCCGAGTCGGAAATCCCACCAGCCCCCTGGGCGTAGGTGGTCTAGAGAGCTTTCTCTTCCAACCCCCTTCTTCCTCTTCGTGGAGCCCTCCCCTTTACCCCCTTCCCTCGACCTGGACGGGGCGCCCCGCGAGGTGTTAGAAGGTACTTCTTCGCCCAAGGCGGCTCCAAGAGGGCCTCAGAGAGCCCACGATGACCTCCGAGATGGCTCAAGATAGTCTAAGATGCCTCAAACCGGCTCCCGAGATGCTCCAAGAGGCCCCAAGAACGCTCCAAGACGGCTTTAATATGCGTCCGAGACTTCCCAGGAGGCCGCCAAAAGGCCAAACTCATTCAACAACCTGAGAAAAGTCAATGATTTTTGCCTTCTCGCCTTTTCGCTTCCGATGGCCTTCCGAGGCCTCAAGGCAGCTCCAAGAGGGCCCATGATAACCAAAAGAGGTCCAATGGAGCCCAAATACGGCCCCAAGAAAGCCCAAGAGCGCTCGCTCCAAGAGCGCCTCAAGAGGGGCCCAAGAGGCGATTCTGGGGGCTCCCGAGGGGGGGTGTGATTTGAGCTCCCATCTTTTTTGATCGATCTCCTCGAAGATGGCCCCAAGAGCGCTCTCAAGGCTCCCAAGAGCGTTTCAAGAGGGCTCCAAGAGGCGCCCAGGAGGCCCCAAGAGGCGCCCAAGAGGCTTCCAAGAGGTTCCCAAGAGACCCCCACAGAGGCCCCAAGACGCTCTCCGAAGCACCCAAGACGCTCCACGAGGCCCCCGGGACCGCCAAGAGGCCCCCAATACGCTCCAAGAGGCCTCGAATAAGCTGCCAAGAGACATCCGAGGAGACTCTCAGAGGCACTCAAGAGGTCTCCGGCCTTTTTGCTCGTTTTTCTTCCCTCCTCTGGGCATCGTCTCTGGATGTGTTTTTTGTTATATGTGTATGTATGTATGTATGTATGTATGTATGTATGTATGCATGTATGTATGTATGTATGCATGCATGCATGCATGCATGCATGCATGCATGCATGCATGTATGTATGCATGTATGTATGTATGTATTGCATGTATGTATGTATGTATGCATGTATGTATGTATGTATGTATGTATGTATGTATGTATGTATGTATGTATGTATGTATGTATGTATGTATGTATGTATGTATGTATGTATGTATGTAATGTATGTATGCATGCATGCATGTAGGTAGGTAGGTAGGTAGGTAGGTAGGTAGGTAGGTAGGTAAGTAGGTAGATAGGTAGGTAGGTATGTTTTTTTTCGCAACCACAAGCGAAGGCGCAGGCGGCGTCAAAGGTCGACCCGGGCTACGGGCGGAGCTTAATTACCCAGCGAGCGCCCTAACGGCTGCGGAGGCTGCCGCCGAGGGATGCCGAGTGGCGCCGAGGGCCGAAGGCAGGCTGCAGGAGCTGCCAAGGGGAGCCAGGCGGCCGACGTGCAGCCGTCCCAGAGGCGAGACCGCCGGGGAGACGAACGCTGGGGGGGGGCTGTGCGAAGCGTCAAGGACTTGACCCACCTCCCTCGCCTGGCGCGGCCCCGCGAAGGGCCCCTCGTGGGGGGTGTCCTGGCGGCCCCTGCTCCCTCGCGGACCGACCTGGGCCAGAAGAGCAGCCCTCAAGAACACGAGACCCTCCGCCGGCCCAAACTGAAGAACATTCGAGGGTGCCCTCCCCCAGGATGCACAAGAACATCCAAATACAACACACACACACGAATAACATCAAGGTATGTACCCTCCCCGAGCCGACCTCGATTTTATACCTCGGTCCGACTGTACGGGGTTCCAAGACGGTGCCTGCGGTCTCCAAGACGGGCAAGGGAGTCTGAAGAGACCGCAGTGCGGCCCAAGCAGGGTCTTCAGAGTCGCCGACGACAATCCACGACGCCTCCGAGGCCCCCCAAGAGGAGTCCAAGAGATCCTCCAAGAGGGCGCCTGGGTGAACCACTTCTTTTCCTCTGACAGTTTTTGGTGCTTTCGACATCCTAACTCCCCGACGGGTCAAGACGGTCCATACAACACGATACGATACGATATGATACGACCACCGCTGCGGACATCGTCTGGGCCTAGCTAAGACCAGGTCGGCAAGGCCTTGGCCTCAGAGATCTGGCGTGTCTGGACAGCAGGCGATGCGAGACACATGCCTAACACATCATGAGGGGAGGGCGGGGGGGCGGAAGGTCTTGGAGGTCACGACGGCCCATGTGACCACCGAGGTCGCCTCACAGCGGCTCCGTGGCCCCCCCAAGGGTCTTCCAACACGACGCGCTGGGGCCCTCCGAGGCAGCCCAGCACACGAGCTCCCCAGAGAGGGCCCCCCGGCAGGCCCCAGGAGAGCGCCGCAAGAGACCTCCCAAGGGAGGCCCCGGAGAGCAGACGGGCCCCATGCAGTTTTAAGCCGGGCCTGTTCCCCTACAGGCCGATTTGGGACGAACAATACAAAATAATCAAAGAATACTGCAAACATAACAAACGTATTCAAACAATCGTCCCCAAACTGTTTTTTTACTTCTTCTTCTTTTTTTTGTTTTGAATATTCCTCCTGAAACGGCTTTTTTTTATATATATATATATATATATTAAAAAAAATATTCCTCCTGTAGAGAGACGTGCCCCCCCGAAGCGTAGCTTCCGCGACGCTCCCGGAGGCCCCGTGTGCGAGCGCCACTGCTCCGCCGCGGCGCGGCCGGGGCGCTCCGCGCGCGCGTCGAGTACCCCGGGGCTGCGGCGCTGCGAATCCCACCAGCCCTCTGGGCTTAGGTGGTACAACGCGTTTTTCTGTTTTTCTCTATTTTTTTTTGTTTTTCTTTTTTTCCCTCTTCCACTGAACTCCCTCCCTCTCCCCCCTCCCCTGGGCCTGGACGGGGCGCGCCGCGAGGCGCTAGGGCGTCCAAGATGGCCCAAGATTGCTCCGAGAGGCGTTCAAAGTCGCAAGATGGCCTCCAAGATGGCCCATGTTACTTCAAGATGGGTCAAGATAGCCTCCGACATACCCCCAAGATGCCCCAAGACAGCCCCAAGACGGATCCAAGTGCCCTTCGAGCCCTCCACGGCGCTCTCCAAGATGCCAAAAACCCTTCAAAAGCATAGAACAAATACATGTTTTTGGTATTCTCGCCTTTTCGCTTCCGATGGGCTTTGGAAGTCTCAAGGTGGCACCATGATGGCCCAAAAGGGCCCCAAGAGGGGCCCAAGAAGGCCGAAGACGGCCCCAAGATCGCCCAAGAGGCGCCCAAGAGCGCTCCAAGACGGCCCCAAGACGCCGTTTGAGAGCCTCCGAGGGGGGATCCTAATTGAGGGACCTCCTCTTTTTGAGACATGGGGCCCAAGATGGCCCCAAGAGGCCTCCCAGTCTCTACCAAAGACCCTCCACCCCGCCCTTTTTGGCCCAAGATGGCTCCAAGAGAGCCCTAGATAGCCCAAGATGGCCTTCAAAATGGCCTAAGATAGCCAAGCATGGCTCAAGATAGCCTCCGACAGACCTCCAAGAGGCCTCAAGCTCACGATGGCCCAAGATAGCCGAGCACGGCTCAAGATAGCCTCCGACAGCATCTAGCCGAGCATGGCTCAAGATAGCCCCCAAAGAGGCCCCAAGAAAACTGGCAATCAATTATGGTTGGGCTGGTGGGGATACGCGAAGCGTCAAGAATTGTCCCGCGTGCAAAGAGGCGGAGCGGCCAAGAGGGGGGTGTCCAGAGGGGGGGTGCAAATCATGACCGGCGGCATGTGCACGGCCCAGCGGGGGGGGGGCCAGGGACGTCATGAAATAAGAAGAGGCGCCATGAAATCTGGGGAAATCTCATGGCCCCCGCCATGATACCCCCCCCCCCTAGTCATCACCCCCCTCTTGCCCCCGAAAGCGGGGGAGGGAAGAGGAAGAGCGGGGCGGCCGCGGAGGGGGAGGGAGGGGGGGGGGGAGCGCTCTCACGGCCGTGTGCGAGCGCACTGGGCGGCCAAAGAGCCCCCCCCAAGGACATCCCCCCGGGATGGCGCCAGAGGCCTCTCCGGGCTGCCGCAGCAGCCCCGCGGGAACTCCCGCCGTGAAGGATCAAAACGAAAAGGGGTCGGAGGATGGGGCGTCGGCCTTTGGAAGGAGGTGCACTCTGCTGGTCTCCGGGGCTTTCGTTCGCGAATCCTCGGGCGTGCCGGACGTCAGGTCGAGGAACGTAACCAGCGGCGTGCGCTCCACGGCAGCGCGCAGGTACTCCTGGTGGCGCGGCCAGATCTCGGCCTCGAAGTAGGGGATCACGTCGGCGCCACCCTTCGTCTCCATCCTCCTGCTCAGCGCGACTTCTCTGTCCACAGACACCTCGAACCTGGCGTGCATCCGCCGCACCAGGAGCGGATCCCACAGGGCCCTGAAGCCCTCCACCACGACGAACGCTCCAGACCAGCCACAGGCTTAAGTCGGGCATGCCCTCCTACAGGGGTGGACGAAAGAACAAATACCCAGAAAACGCTACTCAAGAATTGTCAAGAATAGTAAAACGACCGTCCTCATATTATGTTTTGACTATTTTTGAATGTTCCGCCTGCAGAGGGACAGGCCCGACTTAACCATAGGCCTCCTCCTCGCGCAGGCGCCGCTCCAACTGCTGCACCTCGTGCCGCAGCCACTCGCGGACCGCCGCGTGCTGCACCGCACCGGGGCTCTCCCAGCTGCCCCCCTGCGTGTAGATCCAGTCCTTGTGTTATGATGTTCCGACCTACTTTAGCCTTGATCACCAGAAGAAATTCCGAGCACCAAGACAGTACCCAAACTGAAGGGTTTTCACGTGTCGGGCCCTGGGGGCCAATACTCGATCGAAACTGTTTTTCGATGCTTTCCCGGGTGCTCGAAGTTCTTTCTGGGGTGTGGTCCGTAAGTACGATGGGAGCAACATGATCCTTGTGAAAGAATACGTCCAAGCCCCTCCAGCCACCAAGCCGAGAACCGAGCCAGCCAAGACCCCAGAGGTGCTCCGTGAGCCTCTCTGCCAGCGTGCTCTTGCCCGAGCGGCTGGGGCCGCTGATGCCGATCACCAGCACCGAGCCCGGCGCCGGCGGGGCCGGCGGCGGCTCTCGCCCCGCGGCTGCGACGGCGGCCACGGCGGCCTCTGAAGCAGAGCTGGCCACGCAGCGGGCGCCCCAGTCGTGGGCGCTCTGCCCCGCGACCTCATCCCTCGCCAGCGTGGCGCTGTGCATCACAACGCGGCCTGGCCACCTTCGGCAGAAAGCCTCGACAGCACCCGGCGCATGCCGCTGCGAGTCGAGGACTGCCACCGCTCCGCCCCGCAGCAGGATGTCCTCCGCGTCCTGTGTGCAACAAGCGCGCACCGCCGCGAGGCTGCCACTGCTGGCTTCAGCGAGCTCCCGCGCGACGTCGTGGAAGTCGTTGGCCAGGCAGTGCCAAGGGGGGTCACCGCCAGGGGGGTCGCCACCCCCTCGAAGAGCCAAGGCTCCTCAGGGTACCACGCTCGGGATCGTCAAACAAATCTCCTGATCGTCGGCCCTCGAACCTCGATCCTCAAGAGTAGCTGGCTGCCCCCCAGTGGCGACCCCTGTTGGCATTGCCTGGGCTGGTCAATACAGCGGCCTCTGCGCATTGCTCTGGACCAGTTGGGCCGTAGTAGACTCCTCCACCGCGGTCGTGCTCTCCCGCGTAACGCCTCGCGGGCGTCCCACTGGGAGTGATCAATGATGGGGGGCACAATCGATTCCCCAGGGACGTTCGCCACCCACACGTCTCCCTTTTACTTCCGCCGCCTTCTACCGAACTTCCACAGGCAAATCCGTTGCCACGTCCGCCGAAGGTGAAGGGTCGTTCAAGGCGAAGGTTGATCTGGAACGCCCTCCGTAGCAGTACCAATGGGCCCATCCAGCACGAATCGTGATCGAACAAATCTTGCGACCACATATGAATGCTGCAATCTGAACGAGGCCTTGACGCTGCGCGCCCCCATGGGGCCCGCTTGTGGCAAATGAGACAAGGGGGCGGCATGGAGGACAACGGTACGACAATGGTCAAACGTTGCCTGCGTGGACATTGCAAATCCGCAGGCGCGCCGCCAGGTTCGCTAGGGGGCGCATGGAGAGGCAGTCCAAACCTGGTCGCAGATCCCGAAAAAAAAGGTTCTCCGAGGTCGGGGCTCAGGGCAGCACGTCGTCGTCCTTCCAGCCAGCGTCGATGGTCACCCCGCCGGGTCTCATGATCTGGCCTTGGCAAGCTGCCAGCCGCGCGAACACTGGCAACGCCCAGGAACGGCGAGGCCTCGTCTGGATATGCGTGGGGCATCTCTCGGGCGTGCCCGCACGGGCGCACCAGAGTGACGACAGTGGCGCACCTAGCAGCAACCAGGGAGGGCAAGGGATTGCTTTGACCTGCGTGGCCCCCCGCGCCCGCTGGACCCCCCCATGGGGCGCAGCGAGGTGGCGACAGATATGCACACGCCTGGCGGCACTTGGGCGTGGGCGAGGAAGCCGTGTGGACCAGAATGGGCCCTGCGCTCCGATGGACCTCCTGGGGGCGCAGCAGCACGGTGACAGGCTGTGGTCCTCGCAGCACCAGGGGAGGGCCATGGAGATGCGCCACCGTGCACCCCTGGCACGCGGAGGCCTGGTAGAAGCTGCGTGCTGTCTGGTATGGGGGTTATAGAAGTGTTCTGTGAACGGAGGTAGGGAACCGAACGGCCTAAGCATCCGTCCGAGGGAGATCCGTAGGTAGAGGAAGGATGACAGCGATGAAGGGTTTCCCTCGATGCTGTCCAGTCATGTCAAACAGCGCATCTCCACATCTCCAGTACCTGAACCGAGAGGGGCAGCGGCAGAGAAGAGTAAGAGTGGGAGAGAGAAGGACTTCGCACACATGTTCTGGGCCCACTTCCCTCTTCCAGTACTCCCTTTCCTACGCGCGCGCCCCCCTGTCCCCCCCACCCCTCCTGGGGCTCCTGGTCGCCTCGACGGCTCCCCCTGGCGCGCTCTCCCCAGGACGTCCAAGATGCACAAGACGGCGTCCAAGATGGCCAATCGGCGGCGAGCGAGGGGGGGAGTGAGAGGGAGAAGGCCTTCTCAGGAAACGGCGGGACTTCTTAGAAGTGCTCTGGTCTTCTGACAGTTTTTCAATGTCTTCGGGGAAGGCTTAGAAAGCTTCTCCGAAGGCCGGGGACGTCCGAACCTCCTGAGAAGGCCTTCTCCTTCTCACTTCCCCCCCTTGCTCGCCGCCGAGCCCAGGCAGGCCATTAATGCCGCCCCCATGGCCCAATACGGTAGGGGCATTGGATAAGGAACCAGTGGATAAGGAATCCAGGGTCTCGAAGCCAGTGGAACTTCGATCGTGGATTGGCCATGGATATCACCGCCACCCTCATCAGATAAGAACCCCCCTGGGGTCTGAAGCCTCCTGCGCACATTCCTTAACCAACGCCCCCACCCTCATGCTGCCGTAGATGATCCCGAGACTGCCGAACATGGCCCCACGGCGGCTCAAGAGCCCTTCAAGGCGGCCCGAGAAGGCCCCTAAGAGAACACCCAGCGGGGCCCGAGGAGGCCAGCATCACGGATGTCTCAGTGGGTTTCACGTATTCTCGCGTTCTCGCCGTTTCGGGCTTCCGCCGGCCCAATACTGTCCGAGAGGCCTCCAAGATGGCCCCGAGACGGCTCAAGAGGCCTCAAAGAGCGCCCCAAGCCCATCCACGAGGGCCCCAAGATGGCCCAAGAGACCTCTAAGACGGGCCAAGGGGACCGTATATGGACATTATGTTCGAACCCTGTGTCCCTAGATGCCCCCCAGACCCCCCGAAATTAATATTGATGGTGTGACGACGGGGGGGGAGTGAGTAGACAGAAATATTCGAACCCCAAAGCACCGCTTTTACTGAAATCAACATTGACGTCGGGGGCGTGGGGGTGATTTGGAATCTCCCTCGAATGTGCAAGGGTTCGAATGCATTGTCCATCCACTGGAGCGGAATGGAGGAGGAGGTCGTCGATGCCCTCGGAGGGCCCGCAGGGTACACACACTTCTCTCGGGGACCGGCAGATCTGGAAGGCGCGTCGGGCGCCGCGGCCGCTCCCAGAGCGCGGCGGAACGCTCCGCGAGCCTCCCGCAACGCTCCAAGGGCGATCTGCCCCCATCCCGGGGTCTCGTCGCCGCGTTCGCCGTCAGCAGCCAGAGGGAGGGGGATGGGGGGAGAGGGGGGAGGAGGAGGAGGAGGAGGAGGAGGAGGAGGAGGAGGAGGAGGAGGAGGAGGAGGAGGAGGAGGTCCCGCGGCCCCCGCCCCCGCCCTATTGGGAGGCACGGGCTCTTCCGTCGGCCGCCGGCGCCCGGCCAGGACGGCGCCGCGCCCACAGCCGGCCAGCACCTCCAGCAGGCCGCGGTGCCCTTCTTGGGAGGAGCGGGATAACCGATGCCAGAGCACGCCCCTGCCAGCAAGGAGTCTCTGTCGGGGGGACGAGGAGGGGGACTGCTGGGCATCGTCTGGTGCATTCGTAGAGGCCTCATCAGTGGGGTCGGAGTAGATGGGGTCCGAGGATCGGGCCGCATCGCCGATACATCGGCGACGCATCGACGCCGACGTGAAGCAAATCGGGCTCCACATCGAACCGCATCGGCGATACGTCGGCGATGTGGCGCGATCCTCCGACCCGATATCTATACTCGGACCCCATCCAGGGGGCCCAGACTTCGGGCTCGTCCCTCTCCCGACCTCCGCCCTCGAACTCGACCGCCAGGCGCTGGGGCCCCTCGGCCACACGCAGCAGCCCGCCCGGCCGCACGCGGGCCCCGGAGAGCTCCACCTCCACCGAGCCGGGGCCGCCCGCGGCGAGGTCCCAGGCCACCGCGAGCGAGCCCGCGCCCCCGCCGGCACCACGCCAGCTGCCGCTGGCGCGCCCTCGCCTGGGGTGCGCCGAGGCGGGGGACCATACAGGGACAGGGTGCGTCGGAGGAGGGCGGGCCGAGGCGACATCGCGGCCCTCCCCGGCGCACATTTTCAAGGTTTCTGTCCTCCCCCCCACTGCCCATATTTTCCGATATTTTCTGGGGAATCGACGATTAATTGTGTCTGTGTGTTTTTTCTCCTCCTGAAGCTGGCCCTCCTGCGTGGTTGGCGCATCATGCCCCTGGGCACGTGCGTGCACCAGGGATGGGGGGCCCAGGCGGCCAGGTCGAGCAGGCGGGCTGCTGAAGCGTGATTCCTGCACGAATCGCGAGGAAGTCTCGAGCGATAGCTCGATTCCCAAACAAATCGTTAGGATTTCCATAGCGAGAGCGTGATTTCTGAGTGTCGAGGGCGCGGCGTCTGAATAAATTGTGAGGAAGTCCCACGCGAGACCGCGATTCCTGCATAAGTTGTGAGGAAGAGCGCGCGGGGACGCGCCGAGAGGAGGGGAAGCGCCGTGTGAGGTCAGCCGCCAGACCCTCCGAGTCCTCTGTCGGGCGTGTCCCCCTACAGGGGGATTTTCGACGAAAAATTAAAAATGCCCCACAAATAATCAACAAATAATCCAAACATACTCCGGGGACTATTTTTTGAGAATTTTTGGATCATTTTGGAATCTGTTTTGAATATTCTTTATTTCTCGCCGAAAATCCCCCTGTAGGGGGACACGCCCGACTTAAGCCGAGTCCTCACTCCCCTCTCCGCCTGGAGACCTCCCAGAAGGGGTCCGACGAACGAAAAGGGGTCGGAGGATCGCGCGCCGCGTCGCCGATGCATCGGCCGCGTCGGCGTGGAGAGGCACCGAGCTCCAGATCGAGGCGCACCGCCGGTGCGTCCCCGATGCGGCGCGAGCCCCCGGGACACCCCGCCCGCTCCGGCCCCGCTTGGGGAGGCCCGGGCCGACGCCCCTGGCTCGCCGCGGGAGCTGGCCACTCGCAGGCGCCTCCTGGGGGGGGAGGGAGGCTCCGGCACCGCTGCGCCCTGGACTCCTCCTCCTTCTCCTCGTCCTCGTCCTCGTCCTCGTCCTCCTCCTCGTCCTCGTCCTCGTCCTCGTCCTCGTCCTCCTCCTCCTCCTCCTCCTCCTCCTCCTCCTCCTGCCCCTCCTCCTCCTCCCCCTCCCCCTCATTCTCCTCCTCCTCCTCCTCCTTCTCCTCGCTGCGCCCAGGACCTCTCCCAGGGTGCGTCCTGGCCAGAACCTCGAGGCGAGCTCAGCCGTGGCGACGACGGAAGGGGCAGCGGCAGCTGCATCTTCTGCGAGGCGGGAAGCCGTCCCCACATCCACCGCCTCGGGAACCGATGCCCCGGGACTCTATAGGGGGCGGCGGGTACAGTCATCGGCCTGACCTAAGGAACGATAAATATGGAACGAAGCCCCTTTTATCCCAAGGAATAACGCACAAGGAACGATAAATAATAAATAACGCATGAGGAACTGTAACTGTAGCATGTAAAATCAAAGGAACGAACGAGCCCCTTTTGAAAAGTAAGTGTTCCTTATTCAAGCCGCTCACTGTATGGCAGCTGTCTGGCTCCACGCGGCTCGAGCACAGCCACGCCCACCGCCTGCCGAGGTCCTGCAATATTGGAGGAAGAACAAAAAACGGCATCAGCATAAATTTCTGGCGCTCCGCGCGGATTTCTTGGATCTGCGCTGGACCCTCCCTGGCGCGCGGAGCGCGCCAGGGACTGCGCCAGAGGCGCCGCCGAGGAGGAGCCCAGCGCGGATCCAAGAAATCCTCGCGGAGCGCCAGAAGTTTACCGATGCAGTTTTTTTCTCTTCCTCGCAAGATCGATCCCCCTGGCGGTGGTTATGGATGGGCCCCCGTCTTGGATCTCCTGGTCCTCTGCACGGGCGCCCTCGCCCCCCGCCCGTGGCGCTGCGGGCAAGGCGCCCATCGGCCGCGCGGCCCGGCCCAGCCGAGCCGGGCCGCAGGGGGCGCGGCCACCGCGCCGGCGCCAGGGCTGCTGGGCGGCCCGGCGCCGGTCAAGGGCGCCGCGGGCCCAGCGAGCCCCCCTTGCCAGGATCAGTCGGCAGCGAGCTCCCCAGACCCCTTCGCGCTGTAAACGAAGCGTGGCGGAAGTTTTTTTTTTTTGTTTCGCCAGGTTCGGCCTCTGGCGGCACCTCCTGGGCCTCGGGGGGCCGTCAAGCAACGACTCGGGAGGAGAGCTGGTCCCCGGGCAAGGGGTTCTGGGGGTCGGCGCTGTGATCAAACTCCTGGCGTCGGGGATTCGGGTCCGCGCCGAGCTCGTGAGAGATCGGGTCGAAGCGGCGCGTGCGCCTCGGACCGGGCACAAGCTCGGCACAGGGCCGAGGTCGCGGATGGGATCGGCTGCGCCCGGGCACGCGGCCGCGCTGCGCCCGGCACACGGCCGCATCGGATCGCTGGGGGGCCGGACGCGGATCGGCTCGGCCGGCCCCTGCCGTGGCGAGCTCCTTCTCCGTGAGGACCCCCCGCGGGCCCGCGTCGTCCCCGGGGCGAGGCGCGGGGGTCGCCACGGAAGGGGGTCGGTCTGCCCCGGGGCGGCGGAGGGCCGCCGCTGCCCTTTCCTCTCGCCCTGCGGTCGCGGCGGGCTGGCTAGGCGCCGGCAGGCGGAACATGGCGGGGAGGGCGGGAGACGAGGGGCAGCGACAAGGGGGGGGGGGACTGGCATACAGGGGGGGGTGGCATCGGCCTGGAATCGGCGATGCGTCGCCGCTGGAGCGGCGAAAGGGGCCCCGACAGGGAGTCCGCACCTTCCTGGGCAGGTTAGGACTATCGGGCCCCTGTCGGCGATCAATGGGCGATCGGGAGTCGATGCATCCGCCCCTGTGCCTATCCTCCCCTATCCTTGCCCCCTGCGGAGAGGAGTGGAGGGCGCGGCCGCGCGGGCCCAACACTCCCGATGGACCCTTCGTAGGGCGCCCGGGAGGGCGACGCGTGCACGACCCAAGCCGCCATATGGCGCTGGAGCCGAACCACATGCTGCAGGTTGTCCCAAACTTGCACGTGAGCGACGGTCAAAACCGGGTCATACGCGAGATGACATAGCGAACTCACGCCGCGGCTTACGCGGGCCGCCGGCGCGGCACGCCGCATCGGAAGCGAGGGCGCGCACGCGCGACCTCACGCGGGCAGCTTGCGCGCCAATGTCGGCGCAGACGGCCCCGTTTTCTTGTGTCGCTCGAGTGCGGAGCGAGGGGCCGACGTGGAAGAGCAGGTTGACTGCTGTGATGTGGGCTCCAGCGCTGCCCCTGAACCGAGGCCGCGCAAACGGGGACTTTCTGCCCGGCAGGCCCACGCAACAAAGCGCTGGCAGGCTGGAGCAAGAGCGGCAGCCGCGTTTTCGAAGCCTACCGCACGCTTCATCCGATGCCGCCGCACCCGGCAGAGTGCTGGTCTCTGCAGAGTCCTGGTCTCCGGGGCCCAGCCGAACCCTGACTCCGGATCCGCCCTACTTTGGCTTTTTTTCCAACTTAGAATTGCGTCGGAAATCCACCTATAGGGAGCCAAACAAGTAGGGCGGAAATTTCTGCACCCAACATAAAATGGGGCGAAAATCCACAGAAGTAGGGCGGAAACAACAACAGAAAAGTATGGCGGAAATTGGCATCAGCGGGGCTTGACAAGTAAGGCGCAAACTCCAAGCCCCACTTCCGAATTTCCCCAAAGTAGGGCGGATCCGGAGTCAGGGAAGTGGTCGCCTCGCGTGCCCCGGGAGCGGGCGCCACTCCCCTTCGGGGGGAGAGAGCCCGCTGGGGACGCCACCCCCCTCAGAGGCTGCGGGGCGACGGGGCACCTCGGGCGCGCGGAGCAAACACCGCGGACCCCGCAGGAGCAGCGGGAGGGGCGCCCTGCCTGGCTGCCCCGGCACGCAGCACGCAGCACGCGGCGCATCGATGCGGAGCTCCGCACGCAGACCGCAGACGCAGGCCTGACGCGCCATGTTCGCCCAGGCGTGGGCCAGCGCGTCGAGCCAACACTTTTTGGTCTGCGGGGCGAGAGCGAACCTCTTCCGGTTCAAAGCTAGGCGGGCTACGCACAGCTCTAATTGGGGAGCGCGTCGAGCCAACACGCAGCGCATCGACACGCACGCTCCGAGCACGGCACGTGCTGCGCCCCAGAGGCCACGGGCGCGTCGAGGCAGCCGAGGCGCCGTGCCTTTTTCCCCCGCAGGGCGCCGGCCGCCGGCCTCACAGGCGCGGGCCCGCCGGCCTCGCCGGCGGGAGCGGCGCGCGGGCGTGCTCGCCCCAGGCGTGCGGCCCGTCCAGGACCAGCTCGCCCCTGCCGCCCTCCGCGCCCAGTGGCGCGAAGAACGCCTCCAGCGCCTCGTCCGAGACCTCGTTGGGCGTCGCTCACTGGGGGGGCGAGAAGTGAGGGGGGAAGAAGGGTACACTTTTTCGGGCCCCAAAAGCCCCCCCCCCTTTGGGGCCCTGAATGGTCCCTCCAGGGGCCCTGTGGGAGGAGGAGGAGGAGGAGGAGGAGGAGGAGGAGGAGGAGGAGAGGAAGAGGAGGAGGAGGAGGGGGAGGAGGAGGAGGAGGAAGAGGAGGAGGAGGAGGAGGAGGAGGAAGAGGAGGAGGAGGAGGATGAGGAGGAGGAGGAGTAGGAGGAGGAGGAGCTACTGGCTCCCTCCGGGGGCGCACCCGGCGCCCTTCGCGCGCCAAGGAGGGGGGCCCAGCGCCGATCCAGGAGGCCCGCGCGGACCCCTCCGAAGTCTTCTTGCTCCTGCCGCTCTGTCTTCTTCCCGGCGAGGGCGTGGATGACGGGCACCACACAGCGAATCACTGGGACGTTCAAGGGGAAGGAGGGGGAGGGGGAGGGGGAGGGGGAGGAGGAGGAGGAGGAGGAGGAGGAGGAGGAGGAGGAGGAGGATGAGGAGGAGGAGGAGGAGGAGGTGGATGATGATGAGGAGGAGGAGGAGACCCCATTTCTGCAGCCCTCGCTGCCCCCCTATCAATCGCCCCGCCCCGTTACGCGTCGCACGACCTCGGCGAGCTGGGACCAGCCCGGGCGCCAGCTCTGCCTGCGGTCCTTATCCACCACCACCGCGCGCACGCCCTCGAAGAAGTCCGACATCGGCTGCGGCCGCGTGGAGAACCGCAGGGCCAGGCGATACTCCATGCTTAGCGCGTGCCCGAGGCCAACGCCTTCGGCAGCGAAGGCGTGCATCGCCCGCAGGGTCACCTTGCAGGACGTCGGGGAGCACGCCGCCACCATCGACTGCAGCGTCGCGGCGGCAAACTGCCCCGTCTCCGCGCGAAGCGCGGCAAATATGCCCTCGAGCGTGGGGGCCGCGAAGCACCGATCGATCACCGCCACGTTCTCTTTCGTCAGCACTGCGTTCGTGGGTCGAGGTGGCATCTCGCCTGCGCCAGCCTCGCTGGCGCAAGCCATGCACGCTGCCTCCTGCTCCGCTGCGCCGCCACCAACGCCAGATAGGCGGCTCCCGAGCAGCTTCCGGAGACTCGGAATGCTGGCCGAGGGCACGAAGTGCGTGGCCAGGCCAGCGCGCATGCAGTCCCACGGGCCCAGTCGTGCGCCGGTCATGCCGATGTAGAGGCCCACGCAGAGGCCCAAGGGTAGGCGGCTCAGCTTGAAAGTGAGACCCACGTCAGGGAAGAAACCTATCGCCATCTCGGGCATCGCGAACAGTGTCCTTTCGGTGGCGATGCGAATGGCCCCGTGGGCGCTGATGCCGACCCCCCCGCCCATGACGATGCCATCCCATATGCTCACCTGGCAGCAGCCAGTGCGCTCTGGCATGCTCGCCAGGCGATGGACCAATGCGTATTCCTCCATGAAGAAATCTGCGGGCAGCGAACCTCCCGCCATGCCTTCCGCCCGCACGTCCGCCACGTCCCCGCCCGCGCAGAACGCCCTGCCACCCGCGCCGTCCAGCACGATGCAGCCGAAGCGGCCAGCCCGTCGGTCGACCTCGTCCACGGCACGGTGCAGAAGCCTGATCATGTTCAGATTGAGAGCGTTCAGCTTGGATGCGCGGTTCAGTGTGATCGAGGCCACACGGCTGCCATCCTCCGGCCTCAACAGCACCTCAGGCTCGGCCATGCGCGGGACGGGCAAGCCACAGATCACACGGGTCCTGCAGAAATCGCCAGGGGCTGCTGTGGACGGCGCGTGCGCGCTCTTGGGCCGACATCTGCGGACCTGCTGGCTGCTGTTTGGCTTTGGTCCAGCGGTGCGTCGTGGGGCAGACGCGCGGCCGAGATTGTTTGACTGCGCCGCTCGGACAAAACTGCCCCGTACGATTGTGGATGCCATGACAATGGACACTCTAACAATCCGATCATTGAATTAAAGATGTGTTTGAAATGTGCAAAACATGTTCTAAACATGTTTCAAACATGTTTTAACATATTCAACACATACTTGAAACATCTGTTAGACATCTGGAAATTATTTGGCAGCATGCTCCCTCTCCATTGATCGCCCTCCACAACCGTACGTGCAGTGGATGGAGGGGAGCGCGGAGTAAGAGCCCAGAACGCGCCAGGCCGCCGCGCGCGGGAAGCGGCTGCCATCGCTGCTCCCGGGTGTCTACCTGTCTGTCTACCTGTGTGTCTGCGTGTGTGTGTGTGTGTGTGTGTGTGTGTGTGTGTGTGTGTGTGTGTGTGTGTGCGTGTGCGTGTGCGTGTGCGTGTGCGTGTGTGTGTGTGTGTGTGTGTGTGGTCCTGCGTGTGTGTGTGTGGGTGTGTGTGTGGGTGTGTGTGTCTGCGTGTGTGTGTGTGTGTGTGTGTGTGTGTGTGTGTGTGAGCCCTTGTGCGTGTGTGTTTGTGTGTATGTGTGTGCGTGTGCGTGTGCGTGCGAGCGTGCGTGCGTGCGTGCGTGCGTGTGTGTGTGTGTGTGTGTGTGTGTTTTAGTGTTTGTGTGTAGCGGCTATGTTGCGAACGCGATGCCGACAACAGCAGCGCGCCGCTCCTGGCTGCAGGAGGGGTGAACAATGCACACGAGCTGGGGAAATGTCCCGTGCACTCTCAAGGGTACAAAGGTAGCCGAGTCCCCATGGTTGGAGGACAGTATCTCGGCATGACAAGGTCGGAGGTGCAGAGCACGTGATTGTAAACCATGTGGCTGGTAGTCCCGTTGGCAAGGGAGGGTGCACATTCTGGCCTCAAAGCAAACATTGCATTGGAAATGGTGTCCCGCCAGATCTCAGGAATCCTCTGGACACTTCCTAAGAAATCACTCAAACCTTCCTGCTTTTCGTTGTGATTTTGCAAGAAGTCTCGATCATCGCTCGAACTCCCCACCCCCCTCGGGGACAGCAAGAGTGCGGATGCCGCTTGAGCCTTCACGTAGCAACTGAAAGCGCACGGAACATGTCGCTCGATGTATTTGGCCACGATTCGCCTCAGGAATCTCTCTCATATCACTCCGCAGGCAGTGCGCTCAGGGTTTGTTGCTCCTCCTCCTCCTCCTCCTCCTCCTCTTCGTGCTCCTCGCCCTCCTCTTCGTGCTCCTCCTCCTCTTCGTCGTCCTCCTCCTCCTCGTCCTCCTCCTCCTCCCTGTCTTGCCTTGCTAGGGGGCTGGCTGGGCCTGGCGAGGCTTCTCCTGACGCTGCCGCCCGTGGCCGCCTGCAGGCCCGCCCCTTTTGCGCTGGGCGGGCCCGGCGAGGCTCCGCCACGCGGCCGCCCCCGTGGCCGCCTCGTGGCCGCCCTCGCCTCAGGGGGGGAACGATAGACGCCTCTCAGATGGGGTCCGAGTCCGAGTAGGAGGCCTCCCAGATGGGGAACGACAGAGGCCTCCCAGGTGGGGAACGATAGAGGCCTCCCAGATGGGGTCGGAGGATCTGGCCGCATCGCCGAGACATCGGCGATGCACTGGCGACGTCGGCCGTGCACGGGCGACGTCGGCGTGGAGAGAATCGGGCCCCACATCGAGCCGCATCGTGGCCGCCCTCGTTTCGGGGGGAACGAAAGGGGGGGGGACGGCAAAGGGTAGGGTAGAGAATCAGCGCACGCAGCTGATTTTCCCAGCGCCTCCCGGCGCCGGGAGGCGCCCATGTATGGAGGAAGGGGCCCGGCCCCCTTTCCCTATCCCCCCCCTTTCGTTCGGCCCGATCGTTCGGGGCGGACGAGACGGGCACGGAGAGGATGGGTGCGATGCCCGACAGCAGTGCCAGGAACTTCCTGCTCCTTCTGATCCGGGCTCGCTGCCCGGAGCGCCGCGGACGTCGTCCACATGAGGCAGCAAGCCGCCTGTCCCCCACAGCGGCCGCCGCCGGCTTCGGGCAACGTTTCTTGTTAGGCATCGTGTCCATCTTTCTTGCCGTGCCCACTTCGGGCGTGGGCGGCGTCCGGCGAGGCCCTTCGCCACGGTGCCGCCCCGCCGCCGCTTCGCAAACGGGGGCTCGGGGTGTCTTGCTGCCTCCCTCGAGGTGCGGCCGCGGTGGGGACAGCGAAGCTGCGGATGCGGCGTGCCCGGCCCCCTCCCGCGACGCTCGAGGTGCGTCCGGAGCAGCGTGGCCGCCATCGCCCTGCCGCGGCTCGCTGGCAGCCTGCAGGGCGCGGCTCCTCGGAGGCCGTCCCCGAGCGCCAGGCTGGCCGCCGTGTGATCCCCGCGCGGGTAGCTTTTCGTTGGCCGCTGTTTTTTCTCTTCGCGGAATGCTGTCGCGTCCGAAGGGCGGACGACGGATGATCCTGACCCTCCGCGCTGCGCTCCGCACTGGGGCGAGAGGGAGAGTGAAGGGTCGCAGGTCCCTGCGGAACAAGCTCCCCTATTTGCACACTGCAGGAGCCTCCTCATGGAGTCCTGCACGACGAAGCCAAGCTTCTGCTCTGCATTCTGTCTTTGGACATGGCATGCACTATGACTTCTGCGCGCGTCCTGGGAGGAAAATAAGCAACTGAGGGGCAAGACGACGGCACAACGCCTCGGCGGCCGCGCACCTCCGCGCTCTCGAGCACCTCCTGCCAGCAGCCGCGCGTCGTCCACGAGGCGGCGCTCTTCGGACTCTCGCTGTGCTGTCTGGGGCGCTTCGCCTCGCCGCGGCCTGCCTCGAGGGAGCCCTGCGCGCCCGCCGCTCCTGCGCCGAGGCGGGGGCCAGCTGCGCTGGCCGCAGCGCCTGCACGCGCGGCCGCCCCTCGGCACCCGCCGCGGCCGCCGCGGCGCGGCAGGCGACTGCGGGCACGGACAAGCAGGCGCGCCCTGGACAGGCCGCGACCCACCGCGCCCGACACGGCAGGCGCGCCCGCGCACCTCGCGCCCGGGGCGAGGCTCGGGCGCAGGTCACCAGTCCAGGTTCGCGGAGGCCCTCGTGGGGGAAACGACAGGACACCCATTCCGCTGCTCCGCGGGCCTCTCCCTGGGGGTGCGTGCCGGCCCGGATGCCGGCGCGGAGCCAGCTGTGGCGACGAGGGCCTCTCATAGGCTGTCCTCGGGGGCCAGCGGGAGCGAGGCAGGGGCAGCGGTATCGGTACCTCTTCCTCCGCGGACCGGAGGTCCACGCGGACGACGAGCCCTGGCCAGAGCCGCGCGAGCCTCAGGGTCGCCTCCTCGCTCATGCGGGCCTCTGAGCCCGCCAGCTCGAGCCGCACCAGGCCGGGCAGCCCAGGCGCCGCCGCGGCGAGAGCCGCCACGCACGCCTCCCTGGCCGTCAGCCAGTCCATGCCCGACACCGCCAGCGACGTCAGCGCCGCGCAGTGCGCGCCCATGCCGAGCAGCACCTCGCGGATGGCCGGCGGCCCGTCCACGGCGTCGTAGAAGAACGCGAGGCTCACGTGCTTCAGCGAAGCGCCCCACGCCTTCCGCCAGGGGCGGCCCCGCCCACCGGAAGGGACGTGGGGGCCCAGACCCAGACCCCCGACGTCATGATTTTTTCATGACGTCGACCCCCAGAGTTTTCGACCCCTTCCCTAGGACCGGCTTTTCATCCTGAGTCGTTTTTTGACGGTCCCGAGGCCCGGCAAGGGCCCCCAGAGGCCAAAAATAATGAAAAACCTTCCGTCGTGATTTTTTCATGACTCGAGGGGGTCTGGGGACGCAGACCCTCGGGCAGGCCACGGCCAGGCCGGGTCCCCTCTCGAGCGCACCGGCTTGACGGCGCCTCGGTATCGCTCCTGGCCAGGCGGCCCGGCCGAGGCCCGCCTGCCTGCTTCCGGGCCCCCGGCCCCTCTGCAGGGGCAGGCCAGCCGTGGGCCTTCCAGGCCGCGCAGTCCAGGCCCTGCGCGCCCACGCCTCGCGGCACGCCCGCGGACCACCTCGCCGACCCTGGCCGGGCCCCTCCCGAGGCCCAGGGTCGGTGCCTCCGGATCCGTGGCCAAGCCAGGAGGGCGTAGGCACCGACCCTGCCCCCGAGGGGCCCGGCCAAGATCGGTGAGGTGGTCGGTTGACGCACCCCGTGCGCCGGTCACCGCCAGCGACCGCACCGCCGGGCACCGCTCCTAGAGAAGCAACACGAATCATAGCAGTGAGAAGGGCATCGCCATAAGCATAAGTATCCTGACGAAGGGCCCAACCCTATGCAGCTGCGAATACCGCAGTTGTGAGTCGTTATCGGCGGAGCTCCCTGTGGGGCCAAGGAACGTGTGACGGGGGTGCCGAACCGGGTGCAAGTGCGCCAGGCACGAAACGTGTGAGGGGTGTGCCGAATCAGGTGCGGGTCAGCCATGCGGACTGTGCCGCTGGGACCTTCGGTGGAGCTCCCTATGGGGCCACGAAATGTGTGAGGGTGTGCCGAAACGCGGGCGCGGGTGCGCCATGCGGACTGTGCCACTGGGACCCTCGGTGGAGCTCCCTATGTGGCCACGATGCGTGTAAAGGGTGTGCCGAATCGGGTGCGGGCACGCCATGCGGACTGTGCCGCTGGAGCCTTGGATGGAATCCCCTATGGGGCCGAATCGGACTGTGCCACTGGAGCTTCCAGTGGAGCTCCCTATGAGGCCACGAAGCGTGTGAGGGGTGTGCCGAATCGGGTGCGGGTGCGCCATGCGGACAGTGCCACTTGAGCCTTCGGTGAAGCTCACTATGAGGTCACGAAACGTGTGAGGTGTGTGTGTGTGTGTGTGTGCTGAATCGAATGCGCGTGCACCATTCGGACTGTGCTACGTGGGCCCCCAGTGGAGCTCCTTGTGGGGACATGAAACGTGTGAGGAGAGTGCCGAATCTGGTGTGGGTGCGCCATGCGGACTGTGCCACTAGGGCCTTCGGTGGAGCTCCCTGTGGAGCACGCTGTGCGGACTGTGTCAGTGGGGCCCTTGGTGGAGCTGCCTGTGG